CAAAACCTTTATCAAAAGATTTATCAAAAGAATCCAATTCACAACTTTTTCTGTATAGATTGACAGAAAGGAAACGGTAAGCAAGAAGGTAAGCAAGAATTTTAAGAGTGACAAAAAGGTTTTTAAACAAGCGTTGGACACTTGAACTTTTACTAACCAAGACAAAAATTTAAGCGCTAAAATTTGCGGAGTACTTTTTTGAGAGTGAAACGATGAGTGTCCTCAACGTCGAAGTTTTGTTGTAAAGACAATTTTTGAAAAAAATACGAATCATAAAATTATTGACAGCTTTGTGTAAGCAAAATCCCTGGAAAAGCTTTCTATCTAAATAACGTCTACAACCACTATTTCAGAATTGAATATAGATCCAATACAAACCAAATGGTGGTTGAATGATTTTAAAAGCATAAAAATAGCATCACCACCATGTGATTTGATTGAAGAAGATCTGTCACATCTAAACACATCATAATAATCGCAAGGATTAAGAATAGCGTGTGTTCTTCCCAAGTAATGGCTTTCTATAACGGCTTCAACGGCGAGATCTTAAAATATTCATTGTTGTTAACTGAATATCTTGAGCTTGTGCCTTTGAAGGGCACGTTATAGAAAGTCATTACTTGAGAAGAACCCACTCTAATCAAGAATCGAAGAGGATCATCAATCATTTAGCCACGTTTCAGTAATATCAAAAAAGAATAAGATTTTGTGCGAGTCATAACTTGAAAAATATTAAGACGATTATTGATATTAGAAACTAGGCTACGGGAAAAACTAAGGCTAAAGGGAAAAGAATTAAACGTGGGAAGACGATCCAGGGAATTCATTCTGTGTAGAAAGCGAGATTGGTTGACTTTGTTGCTTGATGGACTTCTTTTCAATCCTTCGTTCCGATAGGTGGGTGAAGAAGAGGTCCCTATCGTCTTCTCTTTAATCTCGAAAATCTTTTGCTAATGGCTCGTTCACATCAGACATGTAGTGTGCCTTGCAAATCCCAGAGAAGTTAATCTTCGTAGAGTTGATCGTCATCGGAGGTCGACCGCTCTAGCTGGAGGCTTTTTTGTGGAGTTTGTCGGCACGATTTTCTTTGGCGAATCCTTTTGCACAGTCACATTAACAATCGCTCCAGAAGCACTCACATTGACATCAACTACGGATCCAGCTTGGTTTTGATGCACATTCTTTGTAGTACTCACGTCAAGGTGTGGAAGAAGGCTATGTTGAGTTAAAGGAACTGTTTCTTGCTTCTTGTTCTTGCAGCAACTTGGGTCCGAGCGTCGAATCACAATGAGTCGAGCGTACCAGAGCAGAAAATCCTTCTTAACACGATGAAAGGAACCCTGTACAGAGCCAAAAATCACCTTTGGAGGCCTAGGTTGAAACGAAGATACCCACCCTTTATGGTTGAATCACGATTGCGTCTAAGCCGTACGAAGCCATAATCGTATCCAAAAGATGACGATCGGCTGCTCTTCTAGGATACGGCGATATGGTAGGATGGACATCAGCGTCAGGCAATCCCTCAATCACTGCGTGGTAGTTGTTTTCGAGCTTCGAAGAACGGGGTAGCTTCACTGTTTCAATCACTAGTGGAAGTGGGTGGTATAGATGGCGTACGAGATTCCTCATCAGAATTAGCCGTCTTCCACGTCGATACCTCAAACTTCTGTGATTAAACCTGGAAAACTGATAGAAAAACTTTAATTTGGATTTGGAGAGAAGATAAGAAAAGAGCAGAAAAACTGTGGAAACCCTAAGTAAGCGTGGAAAATTTTAGCAAAAAAATTTGATGCTATGGATTTCAAAAACGAAAGTGTTAAGAGCAAAAAGCAAGGATTTTCCGAATAATATCATTGCTGTATACGCTTGAGAGAACTCAGCTAGTAACTCACGCGGAAACTTTTCTGGCGGTGTATTTGATTAAATTTACATGCACTAATGAATTCTCTGATTTGATCTGTTTTAAAATATGTGATGTATAGTGAGATATTCATTTTTTTGAACTTTCACCTATCTCAACTTCAATGTGTCGTTCTCTTCTTGCAGAACTGGATATTCCACAAAACTTTGCTGCCGTAATAATATACTTGTCTATACTTTATTCTCTGTAAAAAAATATGAAAAATATTTGCAGAGAATCTGAGCAATGTATCACAATTATTGAAAGGAAAAAAAGCTTCAATGTTGGTCATCGGGGAAATGGGAAATAATGAGAAAGGGAAATTGAAGGGAAGAGAGATCAAAAATGGGAGATCTGATAAAATAACAAATGACAAGAATTTCTATCAACTCTGTGAATGGAAGAAAAAACAACAATGATTTAAAGTAAATGTGGGCGTTCATATGACCCTGTAGTTAGATTGAGTAGAAATGCTTTGACCATCACTACCGTCGATTTTTCATAGAATTTTTCTTACGAACCGTACCACAACTCTGGGCAAAGAAAAAGAAAAAGATTAATACTCATTAATAAAAGATAAAATGTGATAGAAAAAGATTCAAGTCGACGAATGATTCGTTCCCAAAAACCCGTTAGAGAACCACGAGAACGCATCGACTCCTGAAAATTACTTGTAAAGTAGATCTCGAAATTGTTACCATTCATTAAATATAATCTTTCTTATTTGATAACATTGATAACTTACTTTCATTTGAATAATCTCTCGAATCAATTGAATGATTATATCGAGACGTTGTCTTGATTGGGCTGGTCCTGGAAATGGGGTGCTTTTGGTTTGAATTGAAATACTGCTTGTGAAACCATCTAATAGAACAAACCATCTAATAGAACTTCACTTGTTATTGGTTGATCTTGATTCACTTCTGTGAAGTTCACCTGAATGTATTCGATTGTTAAACTAGTTAAATAATAAGAAAGGGAAGTTGAAGGGAAGAGAGATCCAAATGGGAGATCTGATAAGCCTACATCTACATTATGAGTTACTTTTTATTATTAACCTCTTTTGGAATCAGATTTCTCATGAGTGTATTCTCGGGTGTTGAATGTCGACTGAAAGCGCTCACATTATTGTTTCGACTGATATCATCTCCCTGAGTAAATAAGATCTGTATAATTTATTCGATTTATTTGATTTACTCCATGCATACTTTCTAAAGAAAAACTCACTTTTGGATAGAATCGAAAATTCTTTGGAACGTAACAAAAGAAAAGCTTTTTAGCCATCAGAAATCGAAGACAAGACGGCACAGCCTAATGTTCAAATGATTTTAGACACAAATTTATTTCTTTTTTATTTGATTTCATGCGAAAATCTACTTGAACAGTCGGATTCCTCATCGCATATTTCTCCAAATGAACAAAAATTGATGTAGTGCATGTAGCGACTCCAACAATCAAAATCAATGTCATGTAGTATATACCTAAGAGTTTTTAGTACTTTATTCTTTATCCTTATCATTTATTTAGTACTTTATCTTTATCATTATTCAAATTATACACTTATTTAATTGTTTTACCTAACAAAGGAACATCTGAGAAAGATCCTCGTTGTCCAGGTACACTCTCCATTGCGAATTTCATCTCACCCACCAACATCAATAGCATCACCGACATTGATAGAAGAGTCATGATTCCTGGAAAAAAAATAGGTAATAGAATCTGGTCGCATTCACAGTTCTAAAACTAGATATCTGTTGCCTTGCATTGAACAAATCTACTTTCAGTCAAACTTACCCAATCGAAATTTGCTTTCCCTTCTTCCTGTTGCATTGATCGGAGCATGAAAACCAATCACAGCCACCAGTGAAACCTAAGAAAATGCAAGATCTTGATTAAATTATTGAACCAACCAATGTTGTCGGAAAAACGAGATTGAAAACATAATAGAAACTTTGTCTTTTCAATTGAACATTGAGAATTATCATTGAGAATGATTCATTGTCGATATGACGGATTGTTCCATTTGATAGAAAAGCTCCCGTTAATAACCACTCCTGAAAGTGAGAGTTTTTTAAAATTTATTTTAGTAAACTAAATTTTTAGCTCTTTTACCCACTTGATTATCATAAAGTCTCCAAGCAGCATTTCTTGATTCTCATTCTCCACCATCAAACGCACGACATCCGATTGATATGTCCATGAACCACACTAGGAATTTTGATGAGGATTCTCTTTTACTACCTATTTAAAGAGTTATAACATTTTATCCACTGCATTTTGTAATTCATAAAGCTTCATCGATCATTGTCAAGTACCCAGCCAGCTAATAGAGATTTCTTTAAAGACTCACTCACAGAAAAAAAATCTTTGTCATAAAAAGCGAACGAAGTTCTCCTTCTTTTTGGTTAAATGTTCATTCAGGCGTAATCGTTCCTATGTGGGCAATGGAAAGGAAATTGTGGGACTACTAGCTTTTTAGAATTATTATAATACATGGCCAAACTTTTACAGAAGAGTTTAACTCTTGCGGTAAAGCTTACAGTTAACTTTAACTCACAATTAAAGTTGGCCTTTTTAGTGTAACTATTTTTCATTGCGAAAGGTTCGAAAATCATTTTCTTTTCAAGTTGCAAGCTCCAAATAAAGAAACTACATTCCTTTGCACTTGTTGAATTCATATTTATTCTCAAAAATGCGAAAATCGTGAACCATTGTTCCTGTTACTCAAGGAACAAAAAAACTTTAGAGGTTTCTTTAAAAGATTCTCTGCTTTAACCCCTTTCCTTTTCCCATAAGGTGTGAAAATTGTTTCCGGTCATGGTTGGACACGTGCTGTTTTGAGATTTTGTGAATACTTCCTTCATAAAGATTCATATAGTTTTATTTAAGATACTTTCTTATTCTATTTATCATAGCTTTCATTTGTTTATAATCGTACTCTTGACTTGACTACGTAGCCTTCTTTTGTTTACTTTAAACGATTTCAGCTTCACCTATGATTCTCCGAAGAATCGATCAGTTATGGCCACTTTTATTCATTTCCTTTTTCAATTTACATTGCGCTGTGTCAAATAGAGACAAAAATGAGACCAATGAAAGAATGGGAATTGATCGAATAATTAATATCGAGACTGCACCCACTCAATTAATCATTTACACAACAAAAGAGGGTTTGTCATTTTGGGGAAATTAAAAATGAAAAGTTTTAGGTCCATCGGATCAACTCACAATTAAGATTGAAGTGACTGATTTAGAGGATCGACGGATATTTCCTCTTATTTCTTTGCATGGACTATTTCTTTTGCTCAATCGAGGTTTCTTGTTTAAACCTAACAAAATTGGGGAGTGGGAGAAATGCGACCTTTTTTTTGCGCACCCGGACATTTGCGCACCTTTTTTGCCGCACTTAGCCCATTAGCGCACCATTTTTCGCGTTTTAAAAAACCTCTAAAAGCTAATATTAACCAATTTCTATTCCAAAAGTTGTTTTTCTAGGTAATTTTAGGGCGTAGAATCGAAATTTTGACATATCAGAGCTTGTGGAAACAAACGGACGGAGTTATACAAAGAGAAAAATCGACGATTTTCTGTAATTTGATCTAGCCGTTTTGTCTTTCAAATTGGTTCCACACGCTCTGTTATGTCAAAATTTGAATTCGACACCCTCAAATTACCTAGAAAAACAACATTTGGAATAGAAATTGGTTAATATTAGCTTTTTAGAGCTTTTTTAAAACGCAAAAAAAGGTGCGCTAATGGGCAAGGTGCGGAAAAAAAGGTCGCATTTGTCCCACTCCGCAAAATTGATTATTTGCAGGTCGATATACAATTCCTTTCTTGAAACCCGATCATTATTATGGTATCTATATGCAAAGTGAGAATTTTGTGAATGGCGAAAAATTGCTTCACAATGAGACACGAATTGTGAAGACGAATCCAAGAAATGATCAAAACTCAACCAATGAATTTGTTGATCCAAAGTTTGAGGTTAGTTTCAGCATTGCTTGCAAGATTTTGAAACCTTTTAGCAAATATTTTAGCAAGAATTTATTGAAATGTTCACTTTCAATAATTACACTCAGCTGTCCATTGTTGAGGTCAGCCAGGTATTCAATGCGAATCGGAAAATAAGGGCATGGATCATTTCAACAATAACTCTAAAAGAATAAACGGCTCTTGCATAGTTTCCGAGTATTTTGAACGAGTCGTCACGCTTTGAAGGCCTACAACTTTGTTCAGAGATAATATTAGAGTTAACTTTTTATATCATTGTACAGAGAACATTTCAGGCTTTCAAATGATACCAAATAAAGCTTGATTGGATAATTCAATCTAAGAAAATCAGAGCCAACTCTGAGCAAATGAGGTCTATCCAACTCGAACGTTGTGTCGTCTGGTTGGGATTGGAATAAAAAGTCCAATCAAGTTTTATTTGGTACCATTTGAAATCCTGAAATGTTCTTTTATACAATAATATAAAAAGTTAGCAAAAATATTATCCCTGGGCAAAGTTATAGGCCTTCAAAGCGTGACAACCCTGTTCAAAATACCCGGAGACTACGCAAGAGCCGAATAAACTACTTGCTGAATAACAAATTGCGTTTACTAACAGAAGACATTTATTTAGATATTTATAATGTCAGATAAAATTTAGATTTACGTTCATCGGAATGACGAGAGTGGATCGAAAAATACGGAAGGGGTATTTGTGACGGCGAAATGGTTAAGTGAAAAGAGGTTAGTTTATGAGGAAAAAACTAATCTTTCTGTTAAAGATCTATTTTAAGACAAATAACTTTCAATCATAGTTCAACGATTGTAGATTCTTTTCAGAATCGAGGGATCATCATTGTTGATTCATGTTTTCGTGAAATGTGAGCACACAAGTGCAGATGAAATCGTTGTGTTGAAAGATTCGGCGACGGGGATAACTATTGAAATTGCTGTGAGTTTTATGGGAAAAGATACTTCAAGTTTTTTTGATCTTGATCTTGATCTATAGCTTAATCTATAGCCTATTGAAACAAGAGTTTTTCAGATGGATCATCGTTTGGAAATCGAAGATCTTGATGGAAATCATCAAATCAAAGCAAATATCATGCCATTGAAGTGCAGAGAGTTTAGATTTAAAAACAAACGTTTTAAATTTTAAAAACTCAGAATTTGTTGGGATGTCACCTATTTGATGAATGTTTTGGGACGAAATTTCTCAAGATCTTTCAATCAAACATGCGATCAAATCAAAGGGACAACTGCTACCACTTTTGTTCGACAATTACAATCATATGAGGTTACGATAATATCATAAAAGATTAAGAAATCATAAAAGAAACTTTTAGATGATCGATCATCAATTATTTGTGAATACAAAAGTTCATTCGGAGAGTGAAAGTGATGAGGAGAAAGTGAAATTGATTGCAAAGAATCTCATCTCGACGTCGAGTGAACCACTTATTCAAGAATATAGGTAATTTGTGGGGAATTGAGTCATTATTTCATACAAAAAATAGCTTCATGATGTACTTTGTGCTTATAAATTAGAAACACAACCTTTCCAGCGCACTGTGAGTAAAGTTTTTAGTGAACCAACTTTCCCCAATGGAACTTATTTGATGGAATTGGATGGAGATGGAATTTATGCAATCACTTTTGAATACACAAAGATTCGACCATTTCGCTATTTAACTGAAGAACATTTCATGATCGAGATCACGAATTTTGAGCCAAATTCAACGGATGTTTCGTCAGATCTTTTAAAGTTAAGAATAGAGCCATCGAATCTAAAACTCCCGCAAGAAGGGAAATCCATTGAAATGCCGAAAGTTCTCCTTTCCAAAGGATCTCTCCAATCTGATCACCCATTTTCACTCAATTTTGAAAACTTTTGCAATAAATCGATAGTACAGGGAAATCAACTTGAGCTGAGTAACAAATTTTCGGATTTACCCCTTAATCTTCCCCTTAAAGAAGCTTTTTGCGGAAGTAGGAATTCTACAAAGATTTGGTTCTGTCAAAACGTTACAAATACATGTGAAGATACAAAAATATGTTATATATCATCTACTTATTTAGAGAAAAATCACTTTAAAGGACCTAGGAAATGTCTCGATCTTTTTAGTGGATTCACTGTTGAGACAAAGGTTTCTCCTAGTTATTTGTCGTTTGCTACGATTTTTGTTGGCTTTATTTTATTCTTTGTGTTTTGAATGAATAAATTATTGGGAACTTACCGAGAAATTGCAATTTTGCTCATCAAAAGGCATCATTTTGACATTAACAGGACAAAGTGATCGAGCTGTGATTGGGACAAACATCCGCACTCGACCATCCCATCGAACCTAAGACTGATGAATACAATCATCTTACTGAAAACTGTAGTGAGTCATGACTTGACAATATTTTAAAACGCACCTCTGCCGTAGCATCCGGAGCGTAATCCGGTGTTCTTCCTTGGACACTGGAAAGCAACATTAGCATTCGTTCTTTCTTTATCTTTCACCTGTGATACATGTAAAATTCGGGTTTCCAGAGCCATCGAATTGGGATAAATATCCGGTTGAGTCCACCAAAATCAGTCGCATTCCATCCTAAGTAAATTTAATTGAATAAATATGAATGAAGAAATAGATAAGCACAAAATAAAACTAAAACCTATGTACTCATCGATCCACCAAGCATCAATATAAGCAGAGATTGTGGCAAGATTTGAGCGTTGATCCTATAGTTCGTTTATAAAACCTGTTGAAATGTTTTATTTAGATTTAGTTAGATCACTTTTCCGGATTAATCTTCTATTTTCTCATCAACTTCATTCTCTGAAATGTCTTTTTGATGTTCAAATGACGTCTCTAGGATGTTTTTCTTGTGAAAACCTCGAAAAAGCCCAATTTACTTTTGTCGGAGTAAATGAAATTTGAGTTCATCGAAGCAAAAATTTTCCCTTCAAACAAACAAAAAACGCCATCCCAAAGCCCCAATTGAAAAATGATTTCAAAAAATTTAAGGCATTATTTAAGGCGTCAGACTTTTAAAACTTCCAACCAAATCAACAATCTGATAGAGATCAGCTCGTACATGCACTTCGACAACTTTTCTTGGATATCGAACAGGCAAATGGTGGGGACGAGCCTGGAAAACATGTTCATTTGATCTTTCAAAACTAAAGTGTATTCCTTGTACTCACCCTTGTCTTAATCCAATCGGCTAACATTCCATGCAGATCGATTTGATCTTCTTCTCGGTATTCTTCTGATGAAATGAAAGCATTTCCCCTCTTCACTCCACCCACTTGTACCGGGGCTCGGGAGCTTTTCTTTGCCACAAAAGCTGAAAACTTTGAGTAAAGTTAACTTGGTGCATTCAGAACAAAGTCATTTTCGGCTTGGCTACCGTTTTGGAAAACAGCTATCTTAGCTGTAGATCTGAAAATTTGTAACCGGAGACATTCTAGGATGGAGAATCTGAATACGTTATTAGATTTTGAGCAACTTTAATTTCCGAGCCAATACAGTCATCACAAAACTTTCGGAAACTTGAGTAATTAAACCGAATTAAATATCCAAAATTGGGGAGTTTTCTTTAGAAACTAATAACGGATTCGGAATTCCTCATCCTCGAAAACCCCTGATTGCCAATTTTCAGCCCAATCAGGCTCAAAAAAAGTGCTGAAACCACGTACGGCTCACCGGTGAACCGTATCGTCGCGAATTTGTTAAACTATTGAGTAGATCTTATAATTGACATAGTTTTTACGTTAAAAACAATACCATAAAAATTCAATTAAACAATTTTTCCAAACTATGTGTTATTTGGAATTTGAAAGTTAAAATAATCCACAACTCCCTAGCTCTAATAAATGTTATCTATGATTCATTTTGGTTTACTAGTTGACAAAGCTTTGATAGAATTCGATGAAATCCCGAAATCCCCCTTCTCCGTGTTTGTTTTCAATTAATTCGGAAGTTTGTCAGCTTTTTCCCGTGTTTTCCCAATCGGGGTGGGCAATGCATGGCGAAGAATTGGATATCCCGTCCCTTTCCTCGGCTTTTCTCTGTCCGATACAGCTCTCCTTTCCATTCCTATGTCTCCGCAATACATTCACATGTACCCTTGTAAAAAGCTTTCTCTACTCTTTATTCACCGAGAGTAATTTGTTATTCTCTTTTTCGTGTCATTTTCAGCCGTCAATTTCAACCAGAATTTGTGTCAATCATGACTTCAGTCTAGGGGAAATGAAAGAGAAAGATTTACAGTTACGAATTTACAGTTATTCACACAAACCATTCATTAAAAAAATGAGACTTAAGCTTTATAGCTTCATTTTTCTTTTGCTATTTTTGCAAATGTTTTTCTTTTCTTTTAGTTGAAGACTAAGTCTGAAAACCATTAAATAAATGCTCAAAGACTATAGGTGTCATGGAGACAAAAGGGAAAAGAAAGCAGTCAGTGGGCATTGAGAAAACGAGCCGTGAAACGATTTTTGAATGGCTGAATGGGTAAGGAGAATGAGAGAATCACGTGTGTGTTCGGAAAGAAAAAAATAGAAAGGAGAGACCCTGAAGGAGAGTCTCTGAGATATTTCCTCAAAAAAGTTAATGGGATTGTGAGTGTTTTCTCTTTCTTTATTTCATTGTAAAGATCTCAATTCGATTAGATTCCTGTGTTTTATATGTTTTTTATTCTAGTGAAATGTGTAAAAGTCTAGAAGTTAATCTGATATGTTGGTATTACAAGAAACTATATCAAAAATCTTTGTTTTCAAACTCTGGAAAAGACTCTTTCATAATACAAGCATTAGACAAACTCAATTATTCCCGGCTTAAGAGTTTTTCTTCGTTTTGAAACTAGGAAAAACATTGTAATTGAAGGATAACGAGCCCGTTCCCCAAAAAGGATTAGCTGAAAAAAGAGAAAAGTTAACATTCTCTCTCAAACAAAAATTTTAAATGCTTTACATAAAAGTTATTAACTTTACTAGTTTTCTATATTCTCTGAAAATGTACCTTCAATCTGGGAAAATCGGAGTAGCAACACGACAAAATATGGAAACCCGCGCATTCTAAAATACAATTTATAACAAAGGAAAATATTGCAAAAAAAAAAGTAACGATCTTTAAGAGAACTTGAAAAAAACATTTTTCCAAGTAAAACTCTAATCCAAAAGCGATAGAGATGACTGGGTGCAATGAATAATGAGAGGGATTATCGATGGGATTTCGTCTTCAATATGAAGGCATTTGTGAGAATAAATGTTTCTTCTAAAGATGTTTGAGAAGAAAAGAAAGTTGCTTTAGTTGAAGGAAAAATATTGAAAGATAATGAGAATGAATCAATCATTGAATAATGAAAGATTTATGAAGTTGTTAAAATCAAATAATCTATCACCTAGTTATTGATGATTGGGTGACTGAAAAAAGGGATTAAGATTTTTTTCTCGTAAGTTAACTTTTTTTACTTTACATTTACTCTCGAAATATTGCAAATCGCTCTTTATCGCCTTACTTTTCATTAGTTACTGTGGCAACATCAAAGAAGAAATGGAGAAATGTGGACAATTTCATTAAATGCTTGAACGAGCACAAAGCTTCGAATATGTTCAAGATGAACATTACAGAAAGGAAAATCTTTAAGTATTAAGAAAATAAAGTATAGACAAGGAAGACACTGAAAGTTGACTGCCAGTGTCAGTAAAATCAAAACTATTCTATTTGGTTAAAACTGAAAACAGAAAAATTGTTATTGGGCCCAATTGCTTCCATGTGTTTGCACGACAATCAAATAATCGAGGAATAACGATGTGGACGGGCGACCTGAGCAGAAAAAGTCATGCCACAGCCACCACAGAGAAGCGTTTGGCCCAACGGGAGAAAAGGACGGGGATCCTGGAAGTGGGAAAAGAAAAGGAGAGAAGAGGAGAAGAAAGAGAGGATCACGACGGGGAGGAAGGGGAGGAAGGGGAGGAAGGGGGCAGGAAAAACCTCTCCCTTGGGGCTTTTCAGACTTCGGAGATCCCACCAATGAAGAGAACAAAAAGAGAAGAGAAGACAAAAGGATACACAGGAATCGAGGTCGGATATAGGAAAGCGGAGATACAGCCCCTTCTCTATGGAAGAGATGGTCCCCCATCGTCACCCCTAGGGCACAACAAGAAGAAAGAGGAAGAGACGTGGGAATTCTCCCGGCAAGATGAGACGCTGATTATGCACTGGATATCTATGTGCACGATGAGGAGAGGCCAAAGTACGGAGATTCTTCTATTTGTAGAGAGGCTGGTTGGTGACGTTGAAGCAAGCAAAGCAACGGAAATTCAAGAAATAGTCTAGTTAGTTTAGCAGGAAAAGAAAACTTTCAAATGCTCAAATCCCTTGATTCAAATTGAATCTTAACTTCTAGAAAGACTTTCCAGTTGACTTTGAGTTTCCAGTTGACTTCACATGATTGTCTTTCAAGTAGCTGCTCTTTGAAGTGAATGCAGAAACAATAGAGTGTTCGCAATGAAAGAACTCTCAAGGAAAACCTCTTGTACCCAAAAATCACTCAAAAGCAAGGAAACCGCAAAAAAATTGACTCTTTTCTCATTCTTAACCAAAATTTTGATGGGATCATGAAAAACGAGACACCTGTTACCACAAAATGAAATCCGATATTTTAAAATCTCGGATTGGAAGCGGATTTGAAAAGTAAATATTAAGTTTGGTGAATTTTTAAGTTGATAAAGTTTTTCAGAAGATGAGATTGCTTACTGTAGCAACTCTAATTTTGCTACTCAAAGACTGTAGGTTCCAAGATGTTCATCTGGGAAAGGTTTGTTTAGAATTAAATTAACAAGAGAGGCATAGTTTCTAATTCTAATTCATATTTTAAACAAAAACTATTTTGCTACCTTTAGCAGAAAATTCGAGTGGTCTACGCGAGAAATCCACCAGATGCATTCGCGAATTGTCTTCGTTTTCCACAACTTCAACCGAATTTGGCTTGTCCATTTCCTGGATATACTTTAGAAGTAGAGAAAGCTTTATCCAATAATCAAGTGATAGTACTTTATGTTACCTTAAAACAAATGTGGAGATTTGGAACAATTTGGAGATAAAACGAATGGTACTGTAAATATTTGAGACCAGCCGAAACGGCGGGTTTCTCTAGCTGTATATTTTGAAGCCCGTAGAGATGGACGGAAGGACAGACACTGCCCTTTTATATAGTAGATTTGAATATAAAGAGTTTTTTTGTAGATGATGGGACAGATTGCCGCTTATGCGGGCTACGATGTTGAGCCTGTTTTGTCACAAAATATCGTTGGAAGTCTCGATTGGGGAACTCGATTAGTAAGTTCATGAAATAAAATATGATGTTTATTGTCAAATATCAATAGTATTAACTATGCTTTCTCTTTAGTCAAACGATACTTGGGTTGGCGTGCTGGGAATGCTGGCCAATGATACGGCCGATGTGGCTTGTTTGATGTATCAGAGAACCGATCTTCGAGATCAATACTTTGATTTTTCGTATCCGCTTACAAATGTAAACCTTTTACATAAAATTTATTAGAAGCTGGATTTGGTTTTGGTTAATTCGACAATACAAATGACAAAATCGATCTCATTTCGATTTCTCAGCTTCCAGGTGCAACCAATCTATGTCGTTCGTGAAAAGACTCAAGATATCGGCTCAATTTTATGGAATGCTTTCAAAGTTTGATCACCACTTATACCATTATTCTTTTCATTTTAGCCATATTCTACTGTGACATGGTTTGTCATAGTGGGCTCATTTATCACGCAAGTATTGGTGCTGATTGGGATTTCTCGTGTCGAAAAAGATTTAGGAATGAGGAAACGATTTCGACCATTTGAGGTGAATTCTTACATCGAAAAACAAAAAAAACTGTTCTAGGTTTTCTGGCAATGCATTCAATTACAATTGGATGAACACAGTGAAGACATGAACTTCTTCACGATCGCTGGGAATATCGTTATGTTTTTCTGTGCCCTTCTTCAGGTGAGATTTATGAAGAAAAATGTATGGTACAGTAAAATAAAGCTTAGAGATTTGAGGAATTTATGTAAGACAGTATATTGCCCTTCCTTTTCTAGCTGAACCCACTCCGTTTTCAGTCCGGTTTTCTCATCAAACTCTATGAAGGTCTCCTCTTGTCGGCTCTCCTTGCTCCACCAAGCACAAACCCTTTCAAGTAAATTGAAAACCTTTTTCATTTCAAAGAACCCAAACTTGAGAAATGCTGATGGATTAATTCAATTGATCGGTAAGGGACAATACCATCTTGTCACAAATTATATGGGAAACTGGTGGGGAATTTTGAAAGAAAAAGCATTCCAATCGATTTCAGGTATTTTGATGATTTGGTGAACTCGAATGATCCTCATTTTGTATCATTAAGAGCTGCCACCGCAAATAATCCAGTTGTTTTAGCAAAAAGTGTTTCCGATGCTTTGGATATGGTTGAATCAGGTGAGTTTTAATTTGTGATACTCTGGTTGAAACCCTCGAATCTAGGTCCATATGTTTATCCAATTCAAGAAGACAGTTTGGCTATGCAAATGAGCAAAGAACGGTGCAATCTTGTTTATGTTAGTGATGGTAAGAGATGAAAAAACAAGGTGTATTCAAAAAAACTACAGGTTTACCTCAAGTCGGTTCATATTTTGTCTTCCAAAACAAGAGCCGGTTCTTGAAATCGATGAATACAGCAATCATTATGAACAGTGATATGATTCAACATACTTTCAGGTTAGGATTATTCCTGTTATCTTAAGAAATTGGTTGTTTAGCAAATACTTTCGAGAAGGTTATAAAATTGGGAACATTCCGAAGTGCACGCAAATTGTGGATACTTCAAATCCAGAGATCGTCTCTAAACCCTTAAGTTAGTATAAAAAATGAAAAAAATGCTTAAAAACATTTAATGCTAAGATAGCTAAGTATAATTTTTGTTCAACTTTCAGATATGGCTTCTACAGTCGGGATTTTCACTCTCGGTGCCATTGGAATCGCCATCTCGACTGTGGTGTTTTTCGTGGAAATTTACATTTTCCTCCACAATAGGTATTACAAATACAATCATATCAACATATAATAAACAGTGTACGAAATTTCTATTATAATTTTCCTTTCAGAGTTCTGGAAAGCCATCGAAAAACTCGAGCTGCGATGGCGAAAAACCTTTAACTTTGGGAAGATTATATTTTACAGAGGTTTGTGGAGAACGAAAGGAAATTCAAAAACATTTAGATCCATGATGGAGTAGCTTTGGGACGATTGGCCGAGATAATCGATAAGACTTTGGCACAAAATGAACTAGAAGAAGATGATGATTCGAGAGAAAATTCTCCTGATAAATATTAATGTGCCTGAAAGAACACCTGACACCAAGCTATACTATCAATTCAGGATTGATTCTATCAACTTTTTCACAAGGTTCTAACAAGAAGTGTCAATGGTTGAACTTTTTTAATTATGGTAAACAATTCCCTAGAAAGAAAACGTTGGAGTTAATTTGTGCTTCTTGGTCTTTCAAGACAAAGATGAGGGTATCGGATAAGAGAAGACAAGGAAAGACACTCATTTCCTCTATTTCCTTTTGAGAAATTTTAACTCATTCTTTGAGTGTTTCCGAGAAAAAGTTAGCCCACGCAAAAACCATTCAACTTACTTTGAAGCTGTGTCTGTGATATTTTGCATTTCATTCATTTACTCTCAACTCAAGCCATTCACTCGTGATGCTTTACTGGCTGTTAAGCATTTGTGTGTTTATTTTTGGATGTCAACTTGAAACTCTAGCTGCGGAGCGGAGATTTTTGCCAGCTCACAGGTACATATACATACAGTCTGAAAGAATTGTTCGAACTTCTTAAAATGAAACACAATTGTCAGATTCGATCGTTTCCCCGTGAGACCAACGTATCAACAAAACACGAAAAGATCGATCAGATATCGAAGAGGTGGTGGATATGATCGAAATTGTTTCTTTTCGCCTGTTCAATGCATGTTGTAAGTCTAAACCTAACACCTAGGGAACACAAGTTAAGTGTTTAGGATAATTTGTATATAACTGATTCAATTTTAGGCAGTATGGCCCTCATCGTCATGCAAGGACCGAATAATAACACTTCGCATTGAATGACATTCAATTCTACAAATAAATCTATCCCTTGATTGGATAACTTTTTAAATACACGAGTATACACAAATCTTGCCAATTATCAGAAACGGGAGTGGGACAAATGCGACCTTTTTTTTTGCGCACCCGGACATAGGCGCACCTTTTTTCCGCACCTTGCTCATTAGCGCACCTTTTTTCGCGTTTTAAAAAAACTCTAAAAAGCTAATATTAACCAATTTCTATTCCAAATGTTGTTTTTCTAGGTAATTTGAGGGTGTCGAATTCAAATTTTGACATAACAGAGCGTGTGGAACCAATTTGAAAGACAAAACGGCTAGATCAAATTACAGAAAATTGTCGATTTTTCTCTTTGTATAACTCCGTCCGTTTGTTTCCACAAGCCCTGATATGTCAAAATTTCGATTCTACGCCCTAAAATTACCTAGAAAAACAACTTTTGGAATAGAAATTGGTTAATATTAGCTTTTAGAGCTTTTTTAAAACGCGAAAAAAGGTGCGCTAATGAGCAAGGTGCGGAAAAAAAGGTGCGCAAATGTCCGGGTACGCAAAAAAAGGTCGCATTTGTCCCACTCCCTCAGAAACAGTTACGAGTCAACACACAATTACACTGCTCAACAGGGTGCTTTAAAAGTCTCTTGGAGTTAATTTTTCTTTAAAGGGCATCTAAAAACTAAAAAGTACTGTACAAAAAAAAGTAAAAAGTACAAAGTGTCTGTACCTTTTAGATATAAATAAGGGAGCTAGAAATTTTTTTTGATCATTCTCTCATTTTTCCATCCCCAACTTTTCTTGCCATAAATTTTCCTTCTCGATAGCTTTTTTTACGTTAACTGTAATAATTTCTAACCTGACTAATCTTTGAACATACGTCACAGTTTTTTATGGCAGCCAAATCCCCATGATACGAACGCGGAGTATAATAAAGCCTTCCATATTAATACTTGGTCTTTTTTCTGTTGCAGTTATTTCAATGGATTGCACTGTTTTAATTATTATTTTTTAGGTAAAACGCAAAGATGGTGCGAATGAATGTGCTGGCCGATGCTCTACGAAGTATGAACAATGCAGAAAAGAGAGGAAAACGGCAAGTGCTCATCAGACCAGCTTCAAAGGTAACCTTTCTGTCTAATTATTAATTTGATATGTTTCTTCTAGTGACTATTTTGAAAAAAAAATTGGAGCTTTGATAGATAAATGAATATGTAATGCAAGTTAAAGTGGTGGTATTCGCGACCAACCTTACTTCTTTGCTAAACAAGACTTTTTAGTTGTTAAAAATCTATCAAGAAAAAGTTTCTAAGGCATTTTTTTATTGATTTTAGTGGTTAAAACTCTTTGAAAGTTGTTAGTGCTAGGGCGTTTTCAATGAATGGAATCGTCATCGTCATTTATGTATTTGGGCTATAAGAATTTTCTTTAAGGGATAGATTCTCATATTGTGTTTCAATATATTACTTTTAGGTTATCGTCCGATTCTTGACAGTAATGATGAAGCACGGTTACATCGGAGAGTTCGAGATTGTTGATGACCATCGAGCAGGGAAAATTGTTGTCAACTTGAACGGAAGAATTAACAAATGCGCTGTCATTTCACCACGATTCGATGTTCAATTGAAAGATCTGGACACGTTAGTTTTGGTTTTCAGCTTTCGTTAGGTGTTTTCGCCATCTGTTATATATTCAATCAAATGAGCACTATACTTTATTTATTGAACAAGAACAATTCAGTTATGTTCAGGTACACCAACGATCTCCCTCCCATCCCGACAATTTGGATACGTTGTTCTGACAACTTCAGGTGGCATCATGGATCATGAGGAAGCAAGGAAAAAACATTTGGGAGGAAAAATTCTTGGTTTCTTCTTTTAGATAGATTTGGTTTATACGTTTTTGTTGAATAAAATATTAATTATTTGGCTGCGAAATTGCTATCGGAAAGGGTGCATTATGATCTATTCAAGTTCTTTTCTGAAGAGAAATATAAAGACCGTTTTTCACTGATTTTTTGTTGTCGTGAAACTATTCTTTTTGTAGCTCAACTCTGTGTTCGCTATTATGCGCTCACGACAAGCTCTCGTTTCGACATAGGACCACGTCGTTCTTTGTTTCACTCATCTTATTGAATGAACTCTGCACAATTACGTTCCTTACAATTAGGGCCCTTTACTAATCTGAACCGTTTTTCGGTCTAATTCCTAAATTTCTAAATGAAATGATCTTTGGGTTGAAGAACTTGCTCTTTTTATTCAAAATTTAGGTAGCGGCTTGTATCTTGCGCAGCTTTGTATGAAACAGGAACAGATTTTCAAGAAATTAAGATAAGGTTGGGTTCAAGTTTTTTTTCTATAATAAAACTACCTATTTAGATGACTGCCGATGCAAACAAATCGGAGGCGCAAGTATGTATGGATCGAGCGAGAGACGCATTGAAGGTAAGTAGCACATCGTTTATTATCACCGTTTAAAGAATATTCATCAAAAGCCACTTTTAGGTTGGTGATGCGGAGAAGGCGATCCGGATGTTAAAAAAGGCTAAAAACTCAACCCTGACCAGGATATAACTTGTACGCTTATTTTATCGATAGACTTCAACGAGATGTATGTTTTTAGTTCTTCTGCGCAAAGCCGAAACGCTGACTTCACAGCATCAATCGTCAAGCCAAGAAAATGAACCTGCAGATAGGTAAAAGTTCCATAAAATTATTTTAGATAATATGCTGTCTAGGTCATATGCTCATGATGACCACTACGAGGATACAGAATTGCGAAGTCGGCGAGCACGTCACAGCATGCATGGTTAGTTAATGTCTGAAATTGGCTTTAAATAGTACTTTATTAGCATATTATGTGGTCTGGACAATTAAATAACATGAATTTTAAGTTCCATCGGCTCCAAATCTTCAAGCAAATGGAGGAGCATCGGGCTCGCGAGCCAAGTCTCGATCAAGAAGTGCTCCAAGGCTTGGAGTTGAATATACTCAAGTAAGCTAGTTTTACTGATAAACAATGCGGGATATAGTTTTAATGAAAGGCTTGAAAAATACAAATTTATCCTGAATTACGGTATTGTTCTTTCAGAAACAAGTTGACCTTGTATCCCGTATTCGTCGCTGCAAGGATTACTACGAAATACTGAATGTTCAAAAGACCGCCAGTGATGAAGACATTAAAAAAGGAATACAGGTATGATAATAAGTATAACATTGTTCCTTAAAAGTTTTTATTTTAGAAAATTAGCTTTGCAACTACATCCAGATAAATGTCATGCTCCACATGCAACTGAAGCTTTCAAGGGTGCGTTTTACAGGCAACTAAAGTTGCAACATAGCTAAATTATTTATATCATAAATTTTAGCACTTGGAAATGCGTATGCTGTTCTTTCAAACAAAGATAAGCGAGATCAATATGACACTTATGGCAGCGCTTCGCCCAGCCCGTAAGCTTTCAGATTGACGGTTTTGAATTTTACATTTTTAGTAGACGTCGTGGGCATAGCGACTACTTTGAATATGATTACAATCGCGGTTTTGAATGTAAGGTTCTGTCTAAGTGCTTGGAAAAATGTAATTTATAGCCGACTTCTCTGCCGAGGAGATCTTCAATATGTTTTTCGGTGGAGGGTTTCCTGGAGAACAAATTCATCGGTATTTTTAAAATTGTTACAGTTAACTGAGTTTTTGAGGCGTCGAGCTCATTTTCATCAACAGCAACACCGTCATGAACATGCGCATGAACAAGTAACTATTTCGTAAAGGTTCTTTTGCAGCGTTTTAATTTAGCAAGCCTACTCTCCACTTTTGCAATTGTTTCCACTGATTGCCATGCTTATTCTTGGACTCGTCGCTCAATTTATGGTGTCTGAACCCGCCTTTTCCCTTCACCAACAAGGGTAAAACTTTATTTTTAGAATTTTTTATGGCTATTCTATTTTTCTGTAATAGCATCATTGCCCTTTAGGAAGTACAATATTCGTCGAGAGACTCCGGAACTTCATGTGCCCTATTTCGTCAAATCCGATTTCTTGCAGAATTACAAAAGTCAATTAAAACGAGTAAGTGCCAGTCAATTTTGGCCTTGCATAATAAATTTTAGGTTGAACAACAAGTAGAGGATGAATACATACAACAATTACGAATGCAATGCTACAAGGAACAAAATCAAAGTGAGTTTGGTCGTTTTTGTTGCAAAAGATCTTTCGTTTACGTATTGTTTTACGAAAATAAGTTGCAGACCTTTTATATGGTAGTTACTTTTAGGGGATACAATGATTTATCGTGCGAGGATATATCAAGACATCGATCTGTTGAAACGGGCTGAAAGAATGACGCTGGATGCTTGTGATCGATTGAAGCAAATTTATCAACACTAGTCGGGATATTCTAAACGATGAAAATGAAATGCCATTTACAGGTAGGTACTTTTTATTATGGCTTAGTGCTTTTTTTGCTTGGTATGGTTCTATGTCACGTTTCACAACTATGCCCATTTTTTTGTTTCAAGTCTACGTTCTCTCCAAAGTACCTATTTTACTTGGTGATACGACTTTGCTCACAATGAAATTCCTAATATTTCTTGCAGCATAAGTTTACTTCCTCCTTGTGTCAAATATTTTTGAAACTGAATCGCCAAACTATTTGACGTAAAGAAAAAATGTAGCTTCTAAATTTATTCATTCTTTTCGATTGTTTTATCTACTTTTTCAGTCTTTGTTAATGACTATTCAAAGATTGTTCTGTGATATATTCTAAGCTATACAAACACATTTGGTTATTTGTGTAGCTATGTCCAAATGTGTTTTTCGAATCTTAAATTCCTCATGATTACTTGTCATTTTAGTTCTTTCTGATTAGCGTTTTTTGATGGTGGTTTGTATCGAATTTTGTTATCGATTTATTGATGCTAATTTAGAATAATGAACATTTTCTTCCGATTATTGAGTTTAGCACATGTTTAATAGAAAAGAAGAATACCACGTCGAAAGTAACCGGGTTGCGAAGGAATTGATGGATCACGGTGATTGATATGCATAAAATCAAGCCCGCGTGAGTCGAGTAAGAACAAGCAAATGGACTGTGGTAGTTTACTATTGCTTACCGGAAAAATAGTGACTAGAAAATATAGTTTTTTTATATAAAATAACCGGTCTACTAATTTGCTTTCAAATAAGAGAGAAAGGGTGAAAAAAAGTTCGATAGAAAGGAAACCGGTAATGCAAAGCAAAATCATTTGATTGCTTCAAGTCTAGTCGGTCTTTTTCCTGCACTTCCCGATCTTCCATAGACATCATCTGTGTAGATCACTCCAGTCAAAAGACCCTCTTTCACATTATGAAATCGCTTTGGGAAATACGATTTAGCATCTAAATTTTCTTTTGGTTCTCAGGTTGTAGAAATTAAATGTAAACTAACCAATTTTTCTTTGCATATCTCCTTTATACTTATTGACAACGTTTGATTTGTTGAATGTCTTGAAATAGCTATTTGCGAGGTTCTCCTCTTCACTTTTGGCCAAACGCTGAAAGTTTCTGAGTTCGGCATTTCTTTTGAGTAATTTATTTACCCTTCTCAATTTACTTTCATCTTCATTGTGATAATCAGCAACGGCTCTCGAGGCTGGCTCACTTCGATTACCATTGATCAAACCTAGAATGGCCTGGACTTTAGGAATTAGCCGTATTATAAAACAAAATCTATTAACACAGTATGTTGTATACGTATTAACACGCTACTACATATTAGGCTTTTCAAGTATTGAAAGGCATTTGCGGACTTACCATTGCCATTTGTAGCATTTGGTAGAGTGGTTTTCGAAATTGACATTTCAGGGAGAACCCATCTAGGATTGAATTTTCAAATAATTCTTTTCTAGGTTGAGAAATAAAGTGCAGAAACGAACTTTCCCTCATCGGCATTCCATATTGCTTCTTTCTTGACTTTCTCCAGGTTGTAGTAGTTGCAATCCTTGAATTTTAAAAGTAAGCCTTTGAAAGTCTTGGGTTAGAGTTGAGATTTCAAGCTATAAGATGATTTTCTGGGAGTGAGAGTAATAAGAAGAACTAAATAATAATGATTAATAAGCTACATTACTATGGAATTAAAGTTATTACGGTAATCAGTTCTGATTAGAAAGAGTATCTAGAAAACAATCTGATAAGAAAAAGAAGAAAGAGGGAAAATCAATGCGTTTTTACGAATGAAATGAGGGATTTATGTGGTCTCCCCAATTTTGGGGGAACAAATTCCTCTGTCCAATTATCACTTTCTTTGCATAGAGATTCTTTCGATATTTGGTTGCCATGTGGTTTTGAGATTCTTGGAGTGAAAGGTGAAAAAAATGATGCTGAGGAAAGAAATCAAAGTGAAAAAAAGATCCAAAAACCTTTTTGATTAATGGATGGATTTTGTCGAGAAGTTGAGCAAGGAGTTTGATTTGTTGATCTTGTTTCCTAGAGTTGTTTTGTTAAAAACTCAATTAGAGAGTCACCGTATTGTTTCTAGGTAATCCAATCGATCCAATTCGAATTCTCCTTGTAGATCCTCGATCTCGCTTTCCAAGGCTTTCACCTTAAATTTTATGTTATTGCGAAAGGAAAGTGACACGTTTAAGTGACGCCAGGAAGGTTATCGGACATTTGATACGCGCCCCGCCCCTTTTGCCATTGGCAATCTAACTTTGAGCTCAAATATCTTCGTGTTGAGCTGCGCAATTTAAATATTCTTGGTATCATTGAATGCGCCAAGTCTTTCTCCGTCGATTAGTACAAAAACTATTTAAATTAGATAGCCCAACACCAAGATATTTGAGCTTAAAGTTGGATTGTCAATAGCAAAGGAGGCGGGGCGCTTATCAAATGTCCCAGAATCCGCCTGAAATGGTGTTTTTAAATTTAAAGAAGAAGCACAGAGTACAACTGTTAACTCAAAAAAGCAACAATAAATTTTCTATCAGACCTTTCTCTGTTCTTTCTGATATTGAGCGGTGACCGCATCAAGCTTCTCTTGTGTTGAACTATAAACGTGCAGGAGAGGATCATCTTTGTGAACATTCAGAGCAGCTAAATTTAAGAGAAATGTGCACAATTAAACATTTCAGTATAGCTGTTCGACTTTTCGATGCTGAAAATGTTTCAATTTTGAGAAATCTCCAATCTTACCAGCCAATCTTTGTGTTTTCGTTTCAGCATCTTTCAATTTCTTCATTCTCCCTTTCTTCAAATCTTCATTATTTGCTTGCTCTCCTCCAACCTAGAATGCCAATAACTGAATAAAGATCTCAGTCCATTTCTACCAATTGTTGCTGAATCAATTCTAATCTTTTCTTTGCTTCACTTGGATCTAATCCCGCTTTGGACATTGCATCGATTTCAGCATTCGCCTGAATCAGTTTCTAGTTTTTAGAAATCTGCTTTGATTCTCACCGATTCATATTGTCTTTTCAATTCTTGAAGATCCTCTTCGACTTTTTGCTTACTCAATTGTTCACTTTGATAGGCAGCTCTGTAAAAATGAAAATTCTTCAATATGATGGGTGATAGAAGTGCCGACCTCAATTCATTCATCGCCTCTTCAAACTCAGCTCGCAGTTTCTCCCGTTCTGCGTCCACATCGAAGTTTGAGATTGCTGAAATGATCAAGGGCCATTTTAGATGATCTTATTGATGACTTTAGAATTCCTAAGAACATACCCGGTATCCCAGCTCCTCCACCTCCACCTCCACTTCCACCACCAAGCATTCCCTTCAATCGTTCAATTTCTTCTTGATATTCTCTCAATAATGCATCTTTTGGATCCTCATTGATTTTAGGTTTGTTTTTGATATTCTTTGCACGATTCGCATATCTGAAATGAAATAAACTATCTATTAGTCAAGACACAAAACCTAAGGGTTGATAGAGTCTCATCATAGTTATCATCTGATGGAGAGATACAAGCGATCATGATCGTTTTTGTGTTTCCACCGAGTGAATCCTAAAGGATTTTATGGCCAAACTTATATTCAATTGTTTACCTGTAATAATCGAGTGAGCTTTGAGTCTCTGTATGGAATATGTTTACTCTTTCCATCAACAAGAGCTGAGATGACATTTCCAAGAGCCGATAGAGAAAGATTAATTTTTGTGGCCTCTTTGAAACGATCTCCCACAGCACCTAAAGGTATCGTATTCTTTTTCCCAATTTTTCATCACACTACAGTATGCTCCTTTATTTTAATGTCGTGAATTCAATGAGTAATTGCAACAGTTACCCGTTTTGCTTTGTCGTTCACTTCCAGCCAAATCAACTAAGTGCAATTTTCCCATTCTTATTGTTCCCTGCTCATTTAAAGCCTCGACATAAACGGTGAAAATTGAATGGGATCTTGAAGAAACCTGAAAAGAATTAACTTTATCAATTGATATCAATGCAACTCACAGCATTCATATTTGTTGATCCAACATGTCGATTCGCAAAGCCTTTATTCATGAGATCTTGACAATCATTCACATTGTGACACACGTGCATTGAGAGACCCGCTACATAAACACCTCGCTCAGAATGTTCCTAAAAAGTCAAAAATTGTTAACAGCATTTAAATCACAATCAGAATAACTCGTGATTAACTTACTTTTATATCGAGCTTTTGATCTCTCACATCACCAAGTAGATCTCGGACTTCTTCATTGTATATCTAAAAGATTATCCTTTATAATAACTGTTCGTTATTTGTGACTCTTACATAATAATGAGTTTTATTTGAGAATCACCTCCAAGTAAGAACAATGGACGAGAAATTTTGTGTCCGGTGTTGTAGCAGTTGCAAGAAAGATATGTTCGAATGCACGGGGAATGATTCCTCTTTGAGCGGCCACCTCCATTACTCCCTAAAGAATTCTTTTCATCTTATAGATTTATTTTATTCTTTTCGTATTGAGGTTAGTTGTGGCTAGCTCGTGAATGTGATTACGTTATTGTGTTCAAAATTGAGTTTACTGCATCCTGTGCACTTTGTTTCATTCATGCTAATCTTGTTCGTGCTTTGTTTTCTAATTCTTACCGCTTCTCCACAGCCAGACTGAAATTTTTTTAATAAACAATTAGCAATATTGATCAAATCTTTCTATAAGTACCTGCATAGAGAAAGTTTTCCCAGCTCCCGTTTGTCCATATGCAAACACAGTACCATTATAACCCTCGATTACATTCTGTAAACAGATGTAGGATGACGATGATTAAAGATGTAAACATTCTGCAAACATTTACCAAGCACGCAAATCAATGTTCTTTGTTAAATAGGCTTTGGAATTATTTCAAAAACAATAGTAAACATAAAAAACAAACTTCAACAAGTGGGTAAACGATTTCGTTGTAAATTTGCTCTCCGGTACTATCAATGAAGTAGGCGCCATCAAAAGTGAAATCCTGAAAAGTAAATATGAGAGTGTTACTGTATATTCTGTTTCTGTATTAACCACAAGTTGCTTATTAGCTAATAGAAACATCATTTAATCTGTACGAAATCCAATGCTAATAGAAATCTAATGCGTCTAATGCTAACAAAAACATGATCTAATATGTACGACAAACCTTTTGAGGTGAATCATCAGAGACCAGGGAAGCTCGTCCCGATGAACCTTCCATTTCGACGCATATCTAAAAATATTTGGCTAGAAGTAGACTTGGCTTTCCCTTTATCCTTGAAGTTTTGATATTAATTTTCTATTAACATCAACATTAACATCTCCCTTTCTCTTTTTCTGCTCTTTGAGTGGGTGGATTGTCCCTTCTTTCTGTAACCGATCCCTTTCGTTCCCCTTTTTATTTCAAAAAGAAATGGTTTCCCCGGGTGATGGCTAATTTATAAACTCTTTCCATCACTGCTTTTCGCGTTTAATGAACTTTTTCAGGCAAATAATAAACAGATAGTTCATTGTGCTTATTTTCGAGGTAGCAAAGGTCGCGCTAAATAGATTACCTACCCAAGTAGACTCAAAATTACCCGATGAATTTGAAAACAAAAACGAGGTACCTATTTTGTTTGACTGCATTTAGACCCTCTTTAGAAAATACAGTGTAGAAAAAGGAAAACCTTTGAATTGAGCTTTTTCTCTCGATCATTCAATGGACGACATCGGCAGATCACTCGCACGGATTCAGCCATTTTTGATATCTAAAGAAATTTCCTGTAAGATACAAGGGTTTTAAATAAAAAGTATTAACGCAAAAAAACATTATCACTTTAATTCTCACTGTTCAATAATTTATTGAGAAACATATCACACTTTCACTCACCGTTTAATCAGAGCTTCGTGTAATACAAAAATCTCGGCACAAATTTAGTACATTAATGCAAAGAACACCCGCTTTTGTTGTCAATTTCTAAATACTTATATAGCTTGTACAGTTCATAAAAGATTAAAAACCATAAACAAAAAGGAATGTTACCGTTTTATTCTAATAGAATCGCATGCGCTTTGATTTTTCAAACATTCCACAAAATTGCTTCTATTGGAGGCTGCGCTTCTATTTTTCTATGACTAAAAAAACTGATTAAGTAGTTCGTAGAAAGAAAATCTTTAGGTAAAAGCCAATTAAAAACAATTCAATCGTCAAAAAAGCAAAGTCAACTTATTCTCGATTTCCTTACTGTTACTTTAACTGAGACGTCACTATCGTAGTCAATGAAAGAAAATGCAAGAAAAGCTACTGATCAAGCAATAACGATAATAATAATCTAAAAAAGAATTAAGTAAGAAAGATAAAGCATTGGATACTAAAATATAAAACGTCAAAATGTTTAAAGTTGTGAAAATTTTATGGCATAAATTATCTTAGTTTGACGGAATTTAAATACCTAGTCGAAGTTCTAAAGTTATTACATCTATTGGAGGCCGTGCTTCTGTTAGAATAAATTTCATTCAAATAAGCTGACTACCTAATTGCGAGAAAAACAAAATTGCCACTGCTTATGCAAAAAATGATAATGCAATTTTTCTCAAGTAAATGCATTATATGCCCTTAAAGGCTCAAAACTGAGGTTATTCAGTCTACTAAGTTGAATATCCATAGTTATTACTTCTATTGGAGGTCGTACTTCTATTAGAATAAATACGGTGCTTGATTTAGATAAAGAAATCAAGTGTTTGCAGAACTAAGTAAGACTCGAAGATTTCAAATCGCCTACAATTTTTTCCACGAAGAGGAGAAACATTATATTTTTTGCCAAAAATCAATTCTTTTTGGTCATGAAACGATGAAAATTATGGAGTCAAGAAGGAAATTGCCAATTTCTCGAGAAAAAGATTGCAAAAAGAACCATAAATTATTGGGGGAAAAGAACGGTTGAATCATGGGATAATTTGAAGAGAAAGTTTGCTATGTGAAGATAAAGTTTGCTTGACAATCATTCACATTGTGACACAGGTGCATTGAGAGAATCATGGGATAATTTGAAGATAAAGTTTGCTATGTAATAAAATTTGAGAAGTTTGTAGACTGATGAAAAGGAATGTGTGGCTTCCTCGTGAAAAATAAAATTCGTTGTTTTCTGAGATGTTGAAGGGTTTCTGGCGGAAAATGAGACGCGGTTTAAAGTGAAAACAAATTATTGAGTATTGGTTGAACTTTTAGAATTTCTTAGAACTTTTAGAACTTTTAGAATACGGCTAAAGTTTACTATTAGGGAAAATACGCACAAATTTATTTTTTTGAATTTATCAAGCTTTAAATAAGAATATACACATGAAGATATTCACAATCAGAAAGACTATGATAAAAGACGAAAAGAAGGGTCGGTACTTGTCGGTTGTATCCCCCATTGCATCAGATCGGTTATGTCACCCAAATTTACATCTTTTTGAAATTGGCATTAGAAAAAAACCTGAATTCTCCATTGCATCAAGTCGGTTATGATCGTATTTTTCGACCGTTTTATCAATGCTATTTGATTTTTTCTGGAATAATCAAACATCCTGGATCTATTGGTGATATTTTTAGGAACTTTTGAACAATCTTTATTAATGTTTTGTTGAGCTAGCTAAAGTCTAACTGTTGCAGTGCCGCAACGCTAGAAAGTGAGGCCAGGAGTGAAATACAAAGTGAAAACTATTCAAAAACACTCTAAAAATATCACCAATAGACAGAATCACAGTTTATATTTTGGTTTTTACTAAACCAAGAGATTAAGCGTATTTGATTACTCCAGAAAATACAAAAATAGGTTCTGGTCGGGTCAAGTCAAAGTGTCCCCCATCAAACTTTATTAGTACCAGAAAAAATTTAGCAAGTTTTCCCGTGGCTTATTGATAATAACCAATTTCTCAATGGTTCAGTAAAAACCGAAATATAAACCGTGATCCTGTCTACTGTTGGGGCTGAACAGAAAGTCAACGTCAGAGCGTCAGAGCTCCAGAAGAAATGTCGAGTCATGCAGAATTTGTGGAAATGGAAATTCTCGCGACTTCAGCTAATAATCAAGGGAAATAAGTTGACGAAGAAATGAGAAGAAAGAGGAAAAGGAAAGGAAAAAGAAGGAAAGAGTGACTTTTTGGATAGTGTTGAGTTGTTCTTGGGTAAGAGAAAGGGAGAAAGAAAAGAGAATGCACCTGGCAACGCCCCGAAACACGAAGAAGTGAAGAGGAGAAATGGAGAGAGAAAAAGAGAAGACCCAAAGGAAACATTCACACAAAAAAGAAACAAAAAGAAGATGGAAAGGAAGAATCACGAAACAACATAAAATGTGTGGTAGGAAGTGGAGAATGACACGTTTAGAGGGACGATAAACTGAATTTCGTTGAGAATTATAGACTGGGGAAGTCGAATCCCGAGGAATGGGTGGAATTTGTGAAAAAGGAAAGAGTGTGAAGATATTTTAAGACATTTTAAAAGATTGATTCAGATAAATAAACTATTTTTGTGTTGGATTGGTTTGGCTTCTAAGAATCTTTTCAGAACAACTTTCTCCAACAACAACAACTTTCTTTCCTTGTAAGCAATGTTTTAATCAAGCCAATAAGCCGTTAAAACTCCTTTAGCTAATGTGTCTTTATTTTCAGATCGCTTTTGATTTGGTCAAAAGTATTTGGTCGATTTGGTCAAAAGTATTTCGTCGATTTGGTCGATTTGATTGTAACATCTGTAAATCGTTTCCATGCCATGCGTTCTCCATTAATTCGATCAAAACCAAGTAACATCGCAATTTGTTTTTCAAATATAACTTTTAAAATCCTCGTTAAAATCCTCGTTCACTGTTTAACTTTCGGACAACTCAATGAATAATTTTGGTGTGGTTAGCAGAGGGATTTTTCTTTTTTGTCTCCAAAATGAAGGAACAGCATTCTCGCATTATCAATGTATGATTCGAAAAATGAAAAAAAAGGTGACACTCAACAAATAGGTATCTAAAGATTTCTGATTTTTGATTCTCTTTTCTTGGTTGGCAGAGTGATTTCTCTTTTTTTTTGTCTTCAAAATGGAGGAATATTCTTCTCTGCCCTATTCTCTTACCATAATTTGAAAAGTTTATACAATTCGCATACCTTACAAGTTTTGGGTCTAATATTTACCAGATCTTTCATTTGGTTGAGCTTTTGTGTTTTATTGCTAAATGTCAAAACTCTCAGTTTTATTTTAAAGTTACAATCCTTCTTTACGGTTCCTATCAACAAAGTGTTCTCCTTCAAGACTTCGTTTGCTATTTCCGACCTTAAAACTATTTAGTGAAAGTTAAAAATAGGATACTTTGCCATCACTTTACTCCTACTACTTCTCAAATGTTTTCTGTTCATTTATTGTATTCTTTTTCTCTTTTGTCAATTCTTTTCTTTTCTTCAATCTCTTTACTTATTCATAGAAACTAGGGGACTCTTCTCCCATCTTTTTCTCTTCAAAATAGTTCTTATCCAAACGAAATATTAAGAAAACTCTTAATTTTATACGAATTTGCTAGTTTTGCACAAAAACCTTTCATTATATTTTCTTTAAATAACTCTGACCATAATATTTCTAAAATTTTAGTTTGCCTTGAAGAATCTTCGCTTATTGATAGCTCAAATGGGTATACGCAGGTAAACATTTTATGATAATAAAGTGTTTCAAGAAGAATAACTTTTAAAGTTAATAAGATCATAGAATGAGCTCTATGCAAGAGCTCTATGCAGAGAATGAGCTCTATGCAGAGAATGAGCTCTATGCAATTTACATAGTTTTTTGAAAAGCTCGTTTAGGATCAAGTTACACAATCTTTTAGGGAAATCGATATTGCTAATTTTCGTTGATAAAACATCTTCCTATTAGAGGATCTAGCTCACAGTTCTCATCGTCAGTTATTTTTTTCTTCAAATGTTATTATCTGGTGACAGCTTTCTATTTAACAATAGTGATATAGCCGGATTTTAATCCTCATTTGTCTTCAAACATAATGCTTTTTAAACATCGAATTGATTGAATGATGACGGATATTTTTGTTTTCTCATTGAATTCACTCTTCATTGAGTGACTTCTTTCCATTCTTTTCTTTCTTTACTTTTCTTCAATTTTCTCTTAAAATCTCTCCTTCCGGAAGTCCACCTTTCAACACATATAGCGCTCGATTGACTACGAAAAATTGCTTTTTCTTTTTACTCAAAACATTTACTTGATCATTTACTTTAAAAAAAGCAGAACTTCGATTGTTGACTTTACATCTGCAAGAGTTTTTTCAAAGTCGTTCATTTCAAAGTCTAATTGAATTTCCAATGGAATGCGACGATTGACAAGTGTTCTTTTAAGTTTCTAGTTTACTTAAACATTCAGAGTTTCGAAATTTTATTTGATTTACAAGTTCTAATAATTCTTAGCTATTTAGGCTGACATAGAGAATGAGAAATGTCTAAACCATTGAGATTATATATGTCGTAGCCGATTATGAATGAAATTTTTTGGCAAATCTTTCTAGTAGAGCAACCCTTTAATGTATGAGGACAATATTACATCATCTTGTAGCGAATTGAATTCTGCGTCGATTGGTACCAAATTTGTGAGTTTAGGTTAAAAATTGCCGGCGCTACAACGTTTCATTCAAAATCGGCGGGATCCCCGTAGCCGATTATGAATGAGTAGGTCTAGGAGCGTCCAATCATCAAGTATTTAGTATCATTCAACGCAGAATCATTGATAATTATGTTAAATTTTTCAAATTAGCATGATTTGATGAAAAGAAAAAAAATTAGAGCAAAAAACTGTTTGTTCAAGAGAAAACTTTGAAGCCCCATAATTTGTGTTCTTTTTATCCAATCTTTCTAATTTCAAAAATTTAACATAATTATCAATGATTCTGCGTTGAATGATACTAAATACTTGATGGTTGGACGCTCCTAGACTCACTCATTCATAATCGGCTGAAATTCATAATCGGCTACGACATATACAATTTATCTCATTGCCATTAAATCCATTGATTAAATAAATCTTTTTCAGTATTTCTTTTCAGATTAGGCGATGGTTCCCCATTCAAAAAGGGAGACCGACTTGGTCTGTTCAATAAAACGTCAATCAATCGTCGATCAACCAAAAACAACAAGAGGAATGCAACTCGATTGGGTCAAGAGAACTTCACAAAAGGTTAGCTTTACTTATGATGATATATAATGATTCAAATATCATATGATGATTATTCAAATTCATCAAAGCTTAAATATTATCTTCAAATCTTTGTTCTTATGGTGAGCAATTTAAAATTGGGTTCTCTCCTGGGTAAGTATTTCCGCTTCCCCGTTTTTGGAAGCGTAAAAGATTTTGGAATTTGGAGAAGTGCTTGCATTTTATCGTTGCACTGATGTGTTTTTAGTTGTTTCAAAGTTTTTGATTGATTCTTTGTTTCACTAGTTGAGCGCTGTCTATAAGCTTCAACTCAGTGCATGTCTTTTCCTCTATACCTACAACTCTTAATATTAAAACTAGAGTGTGTTCTCTCTGATTAATACTAGCATAAAGCTTGATTAAATTAGATTAAATAAATTATACTTTAGAGTAAAAAAAAGCTTGATTAAACGTTGATTAAGGTAAATTGTGTCCTTCCTTAATTAATGATATTCAGCCAAAGGACTGAATATCTTTTGAGATGTGACTATATAACTCTCTCGAAGTTTTTTCATTTTTAAATCTTCAGGGAGCGGGACAAATGCGACCTTTTTTTGCGCACCTTTTTTTTCGCACCTTGCCCATTAGCGCACCTTTTTTTTCCGCACCTTGCTCATTAGCGCACCTTTTTTCGCGTTTTAAAAAAACTCTAAAAAGCTAATATTAACCAATTTCTATTCCAAAAGTTGTTTTTCTAGGTAATTTGAGGGTATCGAATTCAAATTTTGACATAACAGAGCGTGTGGAACCAATTTGAAAGACAAAACGGCTAGATCAAATTACAGAAAATTGTCGATTTTTCTCTTTGTATAACTCCGTCCGTTTGTTTCCACAAGCCCTGATATGTCAAAATTTCGATTCTACGCCCTAAAATTACCTAGAAAAACAACTTTTGGAATAGAAATTGGTTAATATTAGCTTTTAGAGCTTTTTTAAAACGCGAAAAAAGGTGCGCTAATGGGCTGAGTGCGGAAAAAAAGGTGCGCAAATGTCCGGGTGCGCAAAAAAAAGGTCGCATTTGTCCCACTCCCAATCTTCAACGAAATATATTCAGTTTCTTGCCTTTAATCAAGTCTTTAATCAGCTCTAATACCGATTAATCACGAGAAACACTCGAATCAAAAGCGTTAACTAAACTCAAATCCTTTATTCGCAATCAATTTGATTGATGCGGATCAAAGATTAACCTTTAATTCTCAATTTCAATTTGGAGGAATTGAATGTAAAAACGAAGGGGAAATTCATTGAAATGGGGTACACTGACATGAACAACCAAAAAAAGCAACGGTCTGACGAGAAGGGGCAATAGGGAAATGAAAAGAATTTCGAAAAAGGAAAAGGAAAGGAAAAAAAGGAAATCCTTTGGGATACCGAATCACTTGAATGCTTTTTATTGAAGCTTTGAGTTGGATAAGTTCATCTAAAAATGGCTTGAGTTTTAAATATATCTCTTTTGCTTTTTATTGCCTTCAATCTTTTCTGAATCACGTTCGCTTTCTTTCAAATCTTTCAAATCTTCAAATCAAGACCGAAAAGGATTTCTGTCTGTCAAAGATTCGAGTTTATTTCTCCCGTCAAGAAATGAAATGGATTCAGTTAGGGATGAGAAAAAAGAATTGCGTGTTCTTCTCTTTTTTATTCTAAATTCTTTTATTCGTCGAGATCTTTCTCCTCTTGGGATTTGAAGAGATCTCGATAGTCAAAAGAAGACAAAAACCCTATCAAAATGTGAGTTTTGTGAAATATTCATGGCAATCTTTTTAGACTTTCAACTTTGTTAACATCTTTTGACTTATTCTTGAAATTCTTTCAATTTAAATTTACCAAAACTTATAGTTAGCCTCATCCCAAGCATTCACTTTCATTTTCTTCTCAATTTCTCTATGAAAGATGAGCTTATTCCTATTTTCAAATACACTCAAAATCCTGAACAAAGGCCCTATTTGATGGATGAACAAAAATAGAAAAAAATCTGCGAAAGACGATGAAATTCTTTGTGAAATTTTATCCTCAGAGGAAGCGCTTAGCGACTGAAATCATCAAAAATGGGGAATTCAATGGAAAGAAGGGTTGAGAAAGCGAATGGAAAAAAGGATTTCATTCTTTTATCAAATCAAGAGATTTCAATTTTATTCAAAATAGGCCAAATAACTAAATTATCAATTGCCACCATTTGCAAAGCATTCAATCATAAAATCCCAAGAAATCGTCCAAACAAAAGTTGCTTGATCGTTTGTTGTTTTGCCTTTCTTATCCCTTTTTCTTTTTCTTAAGAACAGGTGAATTCCCATGGGAGTCTCACCCCTCGAATACACCAAAAAACCTTACTCAATCTTTTGAGTAAGATGTGAGAGTTAAGAAATCAAAAAAATCAAAAGAGAACAAGTCCGTTTTACTTTTTCTAATTGACTCTTTTCTCAGAGACATCGATGATCCATTACTGGCCATATTTAAGTTCTCAATCAATTCCTACTATGTTTCTTCACTTTAAAACAAAAAATAGTTTAGTTATAAGTATCGTTTATATTCTTTTCTTGAAACATATCTATTTTAGATCCATATTGTTTTTCCGATTCTAAATGAGCACATTGTTCTCTCTTTTTTTTCTTTTTAGTTCCCCAGTGATTTGAAATTTGCTAGTTAGGTTTGTGTGATTGATCAAATTTTTGCCACAAGAAGAAACTAAAAAGTAATTGTCAAACCATGATAGTATGTTCTGATATTTGATTTATAAAATATTCTCTTTGTATAAAGCCAAAGACCAAAGAAAAGGCAAAACCTTCCTTTCAAATTGTCCCTCTCGATTTCTTTTTTTCCCATTTTCCCTAAAAGCCGTTCACCCTCTCATAAGTGATTGCTTTCCCGGGAGAAAATATAGATTTCCCTAATATTTAAAGCCTAAAGTTGACTATTTGTACGTATTGACTCTTTAGCTATTTATTTACTCGATTAACTAAAATGTTATCTCTAAAGGAGCTTGTTAAAAAAGGTAAAACTTAAAAGAGACTCATGTCTTTTAAAGTTAGATTTTAAAGTTTAAAGTTCCCATTTTGTAGTCTAAAAACCTCGTCTAATTTTTCGATAAAAATTTGAGATAAATTTGCCTAACAGAAAATGGAAATAAGTAATAGTCGTCTCCCCGGAGAAATAAGTAACAAAATGATTTTGAAATCACAGAACTTTCTTTTGATTTTAGCTTTTTCAAGACAAATTCTTAATTTAAATGTCACGATCTTTGAAAAAGCAAAGATTTGTTTGTTGACCTCTGAGAATTTTGTCGACTCAAGTGAACTCAAGCGGCCACTTCTTTCTGAGAAATCCCCTTCACTTTAAACGCTCAATATCTTCGACTCGAAGTTTTTTGCTATTTACAAATTGTTACATAGAGTTTTTTTGTTTCTTGATTTTTGTTTTTCTGTGAAGTATCGAATTCGTGTGTGCAGAAATGAAGCTTCGAATCCCGAAAAAGGATCGGACACACAGCCGACATCAAGAAGTTCTCAATAAGGTATTCAGGCAGATCAGCTATTCACAAAATGTATATGTTACGTCCGAATCTGAGGAGACGTCCATCTCCGATCCGGACGTCCGAATCGGAGATGGACGTCTCCTCAGATTCGGACGTAACATATATATTGGCTAAACTTGAATTTAAGTGAATGTAGCTAGTTTTGAATGCTTAATTACACCTTTACTAGGGGAAATCTTTCAAGTTAAAAACGATTCGAGATGTGACATAGTGCAAAAAAAATTCTCGGCCATATCGCGATGTCTCCGTTTTTCCAAAAAGTGCCCAAACTTGAACATTTCTTGAATCCATTTTAACTTGAAACGGTTCTCTAATTAGTATAGTTAAACTTATGACACAGTAGAGCTCTTCCCTAACTTCAAATGAATATCTTTTGATCACAATTTAGAGACAAACTGTAGAACCCCCGGCTTCTCTATCCAAGGTATTTGATATCTATCTGTTGATCTCTCTCGATCTATCTATCTATCCATTTCAATAAATGTTGTCGTGTGCGTGAACTCGTGAAAAAAGTCATAATTGCACTACAAAGACTCTCCTTTAAATGTTCAGATGTACTTTGTGTCTAAAGATGAACACACCGCACTTAACTTTTCAAGAAACGACCAGAAGTGGAAAAATAAACACAAAAATGATCATAAACTAAAGTGTTTAGTTGAGCAAAGATTCATGTCAAAGAATCATGTCAAAGAATCAGGTCAAAGATTTCTTTTTAGGCTACTCCACTCTTGGTGCATTTGTTGATGATTGGCTCTGTTGGACTGTATGCAGTATTGGGAGCAGTGATTATGAGAAGATTGGAGTCCCGATCACTGGCTGAGATTCGCACTGAAGTCGAGAGTAAATGGGCAAATGTACCTGGTGCGAAAATAGATTGGATATTATCTGTATACAATTATTCAGATGAAACTTCAAAGCACCGCCGTCGACACACCCTCGAAATCGAGAATATATTGGACACTTATGAAGATGGGTCGGGTTTGCTTGTTTCTATTTCTGTTTCTGTTTCTTTTTTTCACTTTCTAGAGGACTTATTCTTTATTTTTCCTTTTTAAATAGTTAAAAAGCTCGTTTAATTTCTATGTGTTTAGTGAAGAGAGTTCTCGTCAAAAGAGAGCTGCAGCTGAAGTGATGAGAAGTCGAAAATGTGTGATCGCTGTGATTAAAGTAAGCAGAAAAGTGAAAAGGATAAAATGTTTTACAGCAAATGCGTGGCAAATGCGATTTTGCATCAGTAGATGTGAGTATGATTAAAGGTGAGAAAAAGTTGTCGATGAGTAGAGAGATGAGAGAGAATCTCCTTTCAGAATTGGACAAATGCTATCATGTTGCCGTCGAGCACGCAACTCACACAAAAGATGTGATATTTAAGAATAGTGCGGAAGAAGTTGAATCTGGTATGTTGCAAAAGATGATCCACATTTATTAGAAATAGAAAATTAGAAATAGAAAAAGTTACTTCAATTTGGAAAGGATTCAAAAGTGTTTTCATAAAGATTTCTTTTCAAATGTTTAGAAGGATTTGATGACATGGAAAAACCCGAAAAAATGCCAAGAAATGAAAGCCGGCAAATATGGGATAACAGAGAAAATCCCATTGGTAAATGCAGAAAAGACACAAAAATGCCTGCCTTCTCTCAACTCACTAGCTAACAATCAAAGAACTTCTCCAAATTTAGTTTAGCTTTGAAATAAGTTTAAAGAAATGGTAAAGTTCGACTTTACAATCTCTTTCAAAAGCTCAACCTTTGTTCTAATTGCAAGAAAGTAGCCTTGAAAGTCACCTTGAAAGTAATCACTTCTAACAGCACAAAATTGGACGAATGCCACTTCTTGGGAAGATCTTTGTGGGAAGACAAATCTTTCTTTCAATTTCGTATTTCATTGCTTGAAATCTAAAAATACAACATTGCTTGCTTCACTTGAATATTTCAAAAATGCTTTCTATATCCCTTTTTTAGTGGCCGAAGAGTTGGAAGAGGTTTTACCGTGGTCATTCATGGACAGTCTACTCTTTGCTTTCACCGTCATCACAACTATCGGTTTGTCTTGAGTTAACACCTTGAAAAGCAAACTGCACTCAAAATCCTCTAGGTTACGGTAATGTTGCTCCCCGTACATTTTGGGGTCGTCTTTTTGTGATTCTCTATGGTTTGATCGGTATACCGTTTACTCTTCTTGCGATTGCCGATATGGGAAAATTTCTCTCCGAAATTATGTACGCTGTCATAAAGAGATGCTCAAAATTTAAGAGGTAAGAAAGAAAATAAATTTGAATATTTGAAATCTCTGTAGACGATTGAAAGAAATGCTCTCACGGAAAGATCGAAAACAATACGATTTCAACAAATTGAATGGAGGATTGGGGAAAAGTGGAGGTGATGGGACGCCGTTGAGTGAGAAGACCACAAGTATTGAAGAGGTTGTCAAAGCTGAAGAAGGACAAACAATTATATCACCAGAAGATGATAAGGTTTGAGAGTCTATCTTTTAAATGCTGGCTTTACAATATAAATGTTTAGGTATCCGTCTCTTCAGACGAAGAAGCCGATGACAGTCAAGCTCTTCCCCTATTCATTCTATTTATTCTGTATATTGGACTTGGTAATGCTATTCAGTTCTTTTTTTATTATTATTCTTCATTTCAGGTGCTCTTTTATTATGCCAATACGAGCCAGATATGGATTTCTTTAAAGCCGTTTATTTCAATTTCGTCACATTGACTTCGATTGGACTTGGTGATATTGTGCCAAGAAGGCTTGTTTTTAAATTAAAAAGATATTCAAGTGAGATACTGTACGGAGATAATTACCGTAAATACTGTAATAGTACCCCACCCCCATAATGACGGTGCGGAGCGTTGCGTAGCCTAGCTTTGGACGAGTTTTTCTCGACACTGGTTTATGCTACAATGCGCGCTTAGGTATCAAAAAATAGCCCTGAATTTCAGCTATTTTTCGATACCAAAGACGCATTTTTTGAAAGTACGGGTGCTTTGAAAAAAATGAAATACTAAAAACTTTTGCGACTACACGACTGTACGAGGGGGGTGGGGTACTATTACAGTATTTACGGTAACTAATACTAAGATATACTAATATAGAGATACTTGACTTTTAGTGAGACGTTTATGGCTGTAACAATCGTTTATATAGCGATCGGATTGGCGTTGACTACAATCGCTATTGGTTAGTCAATGAAAATGATCAAACAGATCAAACAGTTCTGATTTCTTGAATTTTTCAGAAATCGCTGCTGATACCCTTAAGAAGTTGCACTATTTCGGGCGAAAGATCGAGAATGTAGCCAATGTTCCGATTTGGTTTGGAGGGAAGAAGTGAGATTTGTCGTTGAGCATTATAGACATCAATATAGACTCACAATGAAGCAATTGGTGAGAAATCTCGGTGATCAGTTCAATCTCCCGACAACAGCGATCAAAAATCTCGATCTGGATACATTTGTCGACAATGCGATTAAAGTTGAAGCAGGAGAACTTGAGACATTGAGGGTTAGTTCATGATAATGGAACAAAGGAACAGTTCTAGATCATCTAAATCTAGTTCTAGATCATCTAAATCTAAATTTTAGCCTCCACCTTTTGAACCCGAACAGGAAGTCGACGATTTTGCTGACAATATCGAGGATCTAGGTGAGAGTGAACTTAGTTTTGCTTTCTAAGAGAATTGAAACAAACTCTTCTATCAATTTTATTTTTTAAAAGTTCAAATTGTTTAATTGTTTCAATTCTCCTTTAACCCTAACCATCAAAATGCACGTTTGATTCGATTGATTCATTGGTTATTGGTTATTGGTTATTGGTTATTGATTGTTTACAAGTTGGGGGCTATTGTTGGGCCCATTTCAGTGTCGATTGATGAGAAATCAATGGGTGAATCGATTGGGAAAAGGAAAGGCGAAGAAAAAAGAGTGATTGGATGGAATGTGCATCAATCTTCTCATCTCCCACCACCTCCACCACAACGATCTCTTCGACCAATCTCATTCTCATCATCCATCAAGCGATCGGCACCGTTCACCATTGAACTTATGAAATAATAAATGAAATTAAGAAATCAGAAATCATTTTATATAAACAGTTATTGTTTTGGCTTTTATAAACTTTCTTTACGACTTAAAAGACAGATTTTAGTGTCCGCTTTTGAACAAAAGTCGGGCAGAACAAAAGTCCTTTTTTGGTTTTAGCAAACGAGTCATTTGTTTGTGTTGTGTTTTATATGTTACAGCTGTTATTGTATCTATTCAATAACCTTTATTGAATCTATTCAATAATGGACGGGTTTTTGAATCGGACAAAGTTCAATAACGGACGTAACATAGATCCATTTAAGGGTGTAACTGTAGGAGAGAAGTGATAGAGTGTCTAGATGAATGGAAGAGAGATCCAACTCCACCACCAACACCGCCTGGTCTCACTCCACCACAATCACCATCTCCACCACCATATGAAGAAACGAGTGAAGAAGAGATCCCCGATCCACCCACACCACCGCCTCTCCCAGAGCCAGAGCCGGAGCCAGAACCCGAGCCAGAACCCGAGCCGGAACCCGAGCCAAGTCCTGAGCCTTCTTTGAAAACACCAGGCATTTTTTTATATTTCATTTAGTACCTAGAAAGTTTTCTAGTTTCCTAGATTCATCTAACATTTTCACATTTTGAAGTGATTTTAAAACGAAATTCATAATTATTGGCAAAGAATAAAACCTTTTGAGTGTCTTGCACCTGACATTTCTTCAATCAAATCAATATTTATCCAATATTCAGTTTTCAGAACCTTCTCCATCTCCTCCTCCAAAAACTCCCACACCCGAACCATCTCCTTCTCCACCAAGAGAACCCACTCCACCAAAGAGTCCCACTCCTCCACCAAGGTTCGCTTGAAGCCTAACAATAAAGAAATCAATATACGAAGATCAAAAATGAAATGAAATATATTATTGCAGAGAACCGACTCCAGAGCTGAGAGAGCCAACTCCTGAACCGACTCCAAGAGAACCCACTCCTGAGCCTGAACCCGAGCCCGAACCCGAGCCTGAACCTGAAGTAATTCTATTCTTTCTACTACAAAAAAAAACATTTAGGAAGAAATTCTCCTGCCACCCGAACCTCGAAAACAACCAAAGAGTAAGTTTTTTCTTTGTGATTTTTGCCAAAACTTCCCTACTAACAGTGGCCTACTATGTACTCAAATACACAAAATTGGAACGTTGGTTTTAAAGCTCTAGAGAAATTTTTGAATTATTTCATTTACTGACAGAGTTTTAACAAAAATTTTTTGAACTTTTAAAGTAATAAGCTAAAAGGAAAATGAGAAGAAAACGATTTTCAGAGAAAACGTTGACAGCCGCGGAATTAGCCGCACAAAAGAGGAAAGCTTATAGTGAAGATGCATGGAGAAGATATCAAGAATATCAAAATGTAAGCGGGTTTAGTTTTAATCAAGCGTAGTTGCTAAAAAAGAGATCTTTCAGCAATGGAAGAAGTTCCGACAGACGAAAAATCAGCCAAAACCTCCACCGAATCCTCGAGCATCGAGTGGAAGTCGAGCCTCAACGGCTGGCGGAGTCAGCACTACTTCGTGAGTTTTTAACTCACAAATCTTACCATATAAAGGAATTATATTGTAAAATTTGAGTTCTCGTCCCGGTTCATCAACATCCTCCCGTCCTGAGGGTTCTCGTCGTGGTTCTCGTGCTCCATCACCCGAAAGTACCAACTCTTCACGCATATCTTGATATGAAACTTTACTTTTTACTGTATAAAGTGTTTTTTTCCACCTCAACAAGAGTTTATTTCATGGAAATTCCTTCATATTTTTGTCAATAACCGCTCTCCAGTTCATTAGAGTCGAAGAGACGACGCGGATGGTGTGAACGACGAGAACGACTCTTCGAACTGGTAACAGTTGATGTTGAATTCTCGAGATGAGCTAGTGAATGGAAATACTTTCTCTTCAGTTCATCGGAGAGCTTTTTCACTTCATCTTCGGCGTCTCCATTCCACATTTTGACCGATGAATTGATATAGGCTCGATCAAGTGCCTCCCACAAGCCGAGAGCTGGAAATTCGTTTTTTTTAACTAACTTTGCATCAGAAAATGATGGAAGCTAGTGTGTTCCCCGCGATCAATCGATTAAAGTTAAACAATTCAAATTTTAATCGTTTAATCGTCGATTAATGGCTTTTGGGTTTTTAGAACGCGCCCTCACATTGGCCAGCTATTTAGCTATTCAGCTAAATTAACTTGTAGAAGATTAAACATTTCCTAGATTCTAAAACTCACAAGCTCCCCAGATAAATTCCCCACAAAGTCTTGTTCTCACATAGAGGACATTGGCTGTAGTGTCCTTGAAATTAATGCTCAATCGAAGTTTTTTCGTCTGAAATTCACATTAAAATAAAGAAATTCGAAAACTTTATCAAGTTGGTTAGCAGTTTGAAATAAGAAATACGATTTTGTAAATGAATTCAATTTAAATTCAAACCTCCGCTTTTAGCATTTGCTCTTTGATGTCCTTTTTGAGAGAAAGCATAAAGAATTTCACACAATTCGTCTCACCGGTCTCACATGGTGGCACTTTAATGCTAAAATCAAATAAATAGATTTGTTTTGCTGTAAATAGTCTAACTAAAACTAAAGTTTTCTATTGGAGCCTAACTTTATGAGTACCTTGATCCCTTTACCTGTCTTTCAGCCACGATTCCCCGTTAATATTCATAAAGAAAGAGATCTCAGTTTCGACCTTTGTTGAACCTAGATTTAATTACTTCATATTTACATAGGTATTTTTTCCATATTACATATCAGTTCATATTTTTGTACCTTTATAGAAAATGGCGGGATCATTGCGAATGTCCATCGAGAAATCGAGACAGTTTTGCTTTTGTTGTACCATCGTACAATTCATATAAGCCGGTTTCCATTGAGCTGAAATGCTATTAGGGTGATAGGAATGAAACCAGCGCTCACATATCTTTCCAAAAATAAAAAGATTGCAAGCCTCAGCCAATAATTGTTGTATACTATTAGAAAGCCCGTAAATCTTCTCTACAAAATAGTGCAAAAAGATTTTGAATTCGAGTGATTATTGGGGACCGCGATCTTTCGGGCGATTTAAAGTTCAAGTTGTGTTCCCTGTGCGCGGGCACAATCGCACTCGATCTGGCATACTTCGCTTGCAGATATAGTTCCCTTTTCACTTGTCAAACCGGAAGCGTCCATTTTGGGTCATCCGGTAACCAATCCGTTGTCTGCCCCATGTGGTCACCGCTTCCCAAAACTAACCTTGGCTGTAGGACTGGTTAACCCAGTTCCGGCTCATTTTGACTATGATGACGGGTTCTCTGTCGGTCGAAATGGGATCCCAAGTGCCTGTAAAAGGGTGCTGAAGGGAGCCGCTGTGAATTTTTGGATTCATCCCAAGGATTTCGGTCCGTAGGGGCAGCAAAAACTCATGGCACGAATGTCGTGGCTATTACCAGAAACACATTTTTGATCTAACCAATCCAAATTAAAATCTTTTTGCAATATTTTGTAGAGGAGATTTAGGGCTTTCAAACAACACTTATTGGCTGAGGCTTCCAATCTTTTTTTAAGATATGTGAGGTTTCATTCCTATCACCCTAATAGACTATAAATAATTTTTGAATCCTTTTCCCTGAGAAGCGCAAGTAAAAGAGATGACTTAAACGAAAGCACAAACCCTGGGTCAGAGCGAGCACCGCCGCGATGATCGCGAGTCTCAACATTGTCATCAAGAGACTCAAGATCCAGAAAAATTCAAGAGAAATATCGAATTATTGAATAAAAGAAAAGACAAAAGTGATTTCTCTTGAGATTTCTATTACGCATGCTCTTTTTGTCGTTTTTTTTCTTTCCGTAGATTGACAGCTTTTCTTGAATTGACTCAAAACGCTTTTTTCAAACATGGGACTCAGCTCTTCTTATGTTTTTGGCAACAAAAATGGATTGACAGGTGATTCGCGTAGAGGAAAATGAGTCTTTGAGAAATTTCCGATCATTTCCGAAAGTAGGAATTGATTTAAAAACGCTCAGCTGTACAATATGTGTTCATAAAATTGTCTCGATAAGATTGAAAAGGAAAGAAGTCAAAAAATGAAAAAAGTTGTCATAAAAGTTCTGGCAACATTGACGAATTTCTTTTTGAGTTTGAAAATTGGATTGATTAATTGAGAGAGAGTTTTGAATCTTTATTCAATCGACTGATATGTACAAAAGAATCATTCTAACAGCTTCAACTCCGACTAACATTGATCGAGATCTTCACAAGTTTGTTGTGGATTCTTCTTTTCACCTCGAGATCCTGAATTGATCTTTAAGAGAAAAACGAATTCTTATGCGCCTTAGCTTCATTCATTTGCTTCTTACCTCATAAATCAAATCGAAATTGTCATTGACTAGATCCATGCATTCTTTCCCGGCCACAGGCCCTTCATTATGGCTGATGTCTTTGCATTCCTGAATCCAAACAAGCATTTCAATCTCCATAAAAACTCCATAAAAAAATCTCCATAAAAACTGACATCCATCAGCGCCGATTTGAGCTCCGATTTGGTGGGTGTTGAGTGGAAATGATGAATAGCGATGTTCATAATCATTTGACATGTTCGACATGGATCATTTGGTTGATCCTGCAAAGGATCTGGTTGACCAGTTTTTCTGGTTGACATCTGGTTGACCCAGTTTTTCTCAATTTAGTACTTCTAGCAAGTTTTACTTCACGATTTCTATCAAAAAAGATAAAGATCTTCGCAACTTTAACTAAATTTGAAAATCCTCACTTTTAAACTCACTTTTACTCGTAAAGCCAAACCAAAAGTGCAAAAGAATGAAAAGAGTTGACAAGGCAAATGGTCGAAGAATCATTTCATAAAGAATTACAAAAGATTTTAATAAACAGATTTTTTAATAAACAGATTTTTCAATTTTCTTATTTATTCTTTTCTTATCTTTTTCTGGGAGCCTCCCCTCGTGTGCATTCTGTTCATTCTAATCCCCTTTATCGCTGTGATTTTGCTTTTTTGAATCCGGAAACTTCTGAAATCTCTATCTTTTTGAAATCCGGAATTGAGATTTGAACTCGATGTATGTGACGCTAAAGAGTTTGCACAATTTTCACGTTTTTTCCAAGAGATCCAAGAGATTCAGCAGAATGTTTATTAAGAAAAAGTTGATCCTTCATTTCATGTATCCAGCTTTCTTCAATTGTTCCACTGAAAGTAAACTTTTAGTTTTTAATTGAAATAGATTTTTTTACATTGAAAGATCATACTCGAAGTGCTACGCCAGAGTTTTACAGTCGATGGTCCTGAAAGGATTTTGAAATTTTAAATTGAAAATTTCCCACTTTACCAAGACGATAAGTCTTGGAACATTAGCCTAAAAAACTCACGAATTGCAGTTTGTTTACGATTTTTCTGAATCAAGTTGAGAAATTGAATGATATCCGAGCGATCGATGCGGACAATTGGCGGCAGAAGAGAGACTGTAATTAACACATTCATGACAAAGTCATTTTTGGCTCGGACAACAGCTACGACTGGATGTACGCTTGCATTTGGGTAATTAAACAATGAAATATCCAAAAATAGGCACTTTTCTTTAAAAACTGATAACAGATTCGAATTCAACATCCTCGAAAACCCTGATTGCAATTTTCCAATCGGTATCGATGGGCCGTATGGGATTTAGGTTGAGTTGAATGTCGAATCTGTTGAGTGAATGGAATGGATGGGTTACAATAACTACAGTAAGTTCCATCTTAATCATTACTCCAAATTTGCAAGAAAAGCTTCACTGAACACTCACTGAAATAAACATTTGCATAAGAGTTTGTGGAAAATTAGAATGGAATGGACTGACTTCCAATACGGTTCCAATATGGATGGGTTACAATAACTACAGTAAGTTCCATCTTAATCATTGCTCCAAATTTGCAAGAAAAGCTTCACTGAACACTCACCAAAAGGGTTCAATCGTGGCATTGCCTTTACCGTAAACAAAGAAACGAAAAGAAATGCAATGAAGTATCGAGTTTGTCTCATTTTTGTTCAATTTTGCGTTTTGATGCTTTAGTAATGCTTTTATAGGAATATTTTTCAAATCCATCTGCTTTTTTTTTCAAATCAGCCCACTCAAATCCGCGAAAATTTGCTAGCGTTCCACGAAACAAGAATTCACCTGTTCTTCTCACAAAATCAGCAAATTTTGGAGTGAAATGGCATTTGAATTTCCAGATTTCTGCTATTTTTGGGTTATGAATTGAAGTTTATTAATAAAACCCGTGAAATTGAAATAAACATTTGCATAAGAGTTTGTGGAAAATTAGAATGGAATGGACTGAAGTTTTGGGAATGGGAAACCAAGTAGCAGATAATCAAAGAAGAAAAGTCCCATGAAACGTTTCATCAAAACGGGAGATTCTCTGAAAATAAATCTATTTAAACATTTATTTAAACAAACTTGAGCTCTTCCTCAATTGCTTTTCTTTTCTCATCACCAACTGTGGAATGAAGGGATCGTCCTCCTTGTAATTGTTCTTTGATCTAAAGTTCTTTAGTTAAATTTCTTTGAGATATTATCACAAAATCGATTTCTTGTCCATTAACACCAGCTTTTCCGAATAATTCTTCTAATTGTCTAGCAATTCCTTCAGTATCCGCACTGCTGTACTTCAGAATTTTGTAATTTGAGAGCTGACTGCTGAACTCGCATTGCCTGAATGAATTACACGAAAATCAGGAGCTCTCTCTCTTCTCTTTCTACCATAATTGTGGAAGAAAATGTAGATTGACATGTTCATCGATTGAATATCCACCATTTCCCATTTTGAAATCATCTCTTCGCACCGTTTCTCGCCCATTCTTCTCTAGCATTCCCAACAAACAATCCGCATTTACACAATCACCACATCTCTTTAGATTGCTAAACTTTCAAAATCGTTTTCACGGCTTTCACGGCTTTCAAACGAACGTGCATTGATTGACTAATCCCGAGAGAAATCTTTCCATCGGTTCGCGGACAAGTGCGAAATTCTTCGATTCATCAAAAGGGATTTGCAAGAATTTTTCGACTTGCCGATGTTTAAAGAATTCATTTTTTTCCAATACAAGATCTAGAAAAGTTCTTTATGATTTTTGTTTGCTGAAATAATCTCTTTTTCATACCTATTATCATTCCATTGATTGCGAAAATTGCCAGCAGTTTTTATAAGAAATGGATTATGCAAATAGCACATGATAGCTGTGAGAAGAGTGGACATGTTCTTGTAGATTGTACAAGCAGTTAAACGGTGTCTTTTCGATACCTGAATGAGGGAATTGATTTGAAAGTTGTTAGTAAATCTTTTGTCATTGAATAAACGAACCCGATATTGTGAAATCATTTGATAAAAAGGCGTTTGTAATGAGCATTGATCTCTTGATGGACATAACCATTCAAGGAAATTCATTGCTCTAAATATTGAATAGACTTTGTACCTTTGAATTTGAATGTTTGATAAACCTTTGAATGTCTTCATCGGCCATTTCTGTCACCACAACCAATAACACAGTCAAATGCTTTTCATTCACCGAAAATCGTTCAAGAAACTTTTTCTAAAACTTTTTCTTTGCTTAACTTTAGAGAGAAAACTTACAAAGAATAATTTAGCCGTATCAGATGCTTTCACAATCTTTTCTTTATCATAATCCGGCCAAAAAATAATCAAAAAGATGATTATCGTCGGCACAAAAGCATAAAAAAATGATCGATTTCGGAAAAACATCTAGAAAGGTTTAAATCTAGAAAGGTTTCCTGAAAGCTGAAAAAAAGCTTGTTTGAATGTTTGAGTGCTAATCTTCTCGAGAATCTTTATGCAAAACGAGGCCAGAGATTAGATCTCAGCAAAAAAATAGAGCTAGACTTTTCTGGATTCATCTAAAGGAATTAAAGAAGATTTCCATTTTATAATGTGACAAAATTTATGAAAAAAAAGTATGACAAAAGATTCCACGTCAAATCGTCCTCATATGTGAGTTATCCACAAAAACGAATAAAGGTTTTGTCTCTTTTCAAATCCGAAATCGATATTTTGATCAAATCGTTTGGATGCTTTTTGAAAAATGAATATCATACAATTCATAAACCATTTTTTATTTGACAATGTTTTGTTACTTTACAATAACTCCAGGAAAATTTTGAGCGTTTGGTACGTTTGGTAGCTTGGTACGTTTTTATTGTGAACCAGCTGAAAAATCTGGATGTTTTTCTGGCTGGATAAAGCCTTACAGGTGGACGGACAAACAGACACTGCTTTTATATATGTTGTGTCCGATTTAGATTGAACTTATCGCGGACGTCCGATTTAGATTACAGTCTATATCGGACGTCCGATTTAGATTCAATCTAAATCGGACGGAAATCAAAATCGGACACAACATATATATTAGATTTCTTTAAACACTAAACCATTCAATTCACTTTCAGTTCTATTAAAACATTTTCCAGTTTTCACAATCTGTGACTCATCACTTTCTTTCATATCATTCATAATCTATGGTTTAACTCGAATCACAAAAAAAAGACCGATGGCGCCAAAGGTTTTCATGGGCATTTCTGTATAGAGAAATGGTAAAATGGTAAAATGGAAAAGAAAAAGGAAAAAGATATCGATGAATAAGCTCTTCTCTTATTCTTTATTCTTCCGGAAAGGTGGAGTGAAAGATGGAAAAAGAGGCAGAATCGCTTCTCTCGTGTCATTTCGTTTTTCACTCAATCAAGTCTTGTCTTGTTAGATCTTTATGCAATCATGATTTCTTAAAGTTTCAGTTTTACATTAAAGTGTACCCGGATTAGTATCGTTGATTTAAAATGACTGAATACTTCAAATTCTGTCACTATTGTCGGGTAGAAAACTGGGACTTTACAATTACAGTAACTCTAAAAGCTCGTTCACAAATTTTAGCTTCATTGATTGACGATGACTGAATTTTGGCAATGTTTCTGTTTGATCTTCTCACCGGTTAGTTTAAAAGAACTAATCAAACAACAAACACTTTTTCAGCCAATCACTGTCGCTTTAGCAACAGGCGACGGGAAAAAAATGTACATCTGTATGCTTCTCACAATGATTTGTTATATTCCCGGGCTCCTATATGCTATGCAGGTTTGGTTCTCGTTTTACAAATTCAAAAAGTACAAGGATCGAATGGTCCAGTGATCAAATCACTCCTGTGAACCACCATCGCGCCACTTGACTCACTGAAGAATTTCTCGCGCGGAGTATTTAAATAGGAACAAGAGAAAACAAAAAGATATTCAGTTGGTTCACTGAATATCTAACACAGCGAAATCTAACATAAATCGGAACGCGAAAGGCGCAGAATCAGGGGTGGGCTAGTTTCCGCAACAGAGTCATTTGCGCAACTGGGTCGTTTGCGCAACTCACCATAACTTTCTTCTAAGTGGGCTAATCTTTATGATTTTGATTTCATTTTGTTGCACTTATTGAGATCTACAAAAGGAGACCAAAATCATAAAGATTACACTTAGAAGAAAGTTATGGTGAGTTGCGCAAACGACCCAGTTGCGCAAATGACCCTGTTGCGCAAAAAAAGTTGCGGAAACTAGCCTACCCCCAGAATCGGAACTAACAGAACATTTGACTCAAAATCTTCTCCTTTTAGTATACAAATGAGGGACGAGATCATCACAATCATCACGCTCATTAAAATCGATCAATTTACTCTGAACTCAATGATCGATCTCCAAAACAACCTTTTCCCTTTTCCCAATTCTCTTTATCGCTCAAAAATATTGACAGAAAACAGAGAGATCTCCCAGGATAATTGCTTATTTTTCCTTATTTTTCCGTTTTTTTATCAGTCAAATGTCACTTCTTTACTCAATTTTACTTTTATTTTTGTTTTTTATGCAAATAGGTTTGTGATTTGTACGTTTTTATCAAAAATTATTTAATCAAATAGGCGTGTTTGCATTTTCGAAATCTCTTGATGAATCAAGTGTCTATGGATCACGATTTTTACCCGAGAGTCGACGACTTTTTAACGACATCTTTCCGCCACTTGAATAAATTCGAACAATAAATATAAAGTTAAAGATATTGTTACAAAGTATCCAAAAGTTACAGATATCAGTTATCAATTCAAAAACAAACTTTTTATTCACGTAACCTGATCACTCAACCAGAACGGGGAAGGAATTTCTCTCCCCAGGAAATCATTTTCAATTTCATTTGATGGCACGTTCAAGTTCAGTTTCAGTTCAGTTTTAGTTTCATTTCCTCTAAAATGACTAACATTTTACAGTTTACCTTGTTGCTTTCTTTGATATTTATTGTGTATGGTGGTAGATATGGAGGTGGATGGGGTGGTGGTGGAGGTGGAGGGATTGGTGGGTGGAATGGTGGAGGTGAGGGTGGAGGGATGAGTGCGTGGAATGGTGGAGGTGGAGGTGGAGGGATGGGTGGAATGAGTGGATGGAATGGTGGAGCACCGAGTCGACCCTTTGGACACTTTGGAAGACATCGACATCGACATTGGCATCGTGGGTGGAGAAGACACCATTTCCGAAATCCTTTTCGAGCTCGATGGGGAAGAGGGAGACACGGAAGGCATCGGTCAGATCTTTGAATCCTTGGAAAACCATAAAAATGTCAGACATTGGCGAATGATGTCACGATCTGGACATCGATTCTTCTTCCGTCATGGAATGGATGCTGGAGAATTGGCTGATCTACAAAATTTACCCGATGATGTCCGGCAAAGACTTGGCGATAATGAGCAAGAATTTGTGAACTATGGAACAAGGTAAAGAAAACGGGAAATTTGGAGTGAAGAGAATTTAGATTCAAACGTCGTTTCAATTTGGGAGCAATGGAAGATATTGCCGGGAATTTCAACGATAACTATGCTACTCTTCAAGAATTGAAATCAAGACCGAATAGGAGAAGATTTCGATTTGGAATGCATCCATTTATGCATTTATCAAGGGATCAATTCAAACGGGTAAACGAAAAAAGAACAATGAACTTTTCAGTTATAGATTTATTTAGATTTTACTACCAATTCCTGATGAAACTTTATCTCCAAGTGTGATCGTTGATGAGGGTGATGGAACAGAAAATGGAGGAGAAGAAGGGACAACTCATGCTCCAAGTGAAAGCGATTATCAAGCGGATATCGAATACAATGATCAAGATTCGGTAGGTTGAAATAAAAACATGTTAGAGTTAAAAATAGACAACTGAAACGACTCCTGAAGAGACGACAACAGAGGAAACATCCACAGATTATGGAGGAGAAGAAGAACAAGGAAAAGAAGAACAAGAAAAAGAAGAACAAGAAGAACAAGAGGAATTACCGACAAGTTTTGATTGGAGAGACCAAGTGACAGTCTCCACTCCGAAACACCAATGGGATTGTGGAAGTTGCTGGACTTTTGCGTGGGTAGTTCATAGTCAAATATCTCGATTTACTCCAATCGTCACTTGTTCGACAATGTACTGTTTGACAATAAAGCTCAATCTTCAGATCAGCAGGAGTTCTCGAGATTCAACACGCTCGTCAAAACAACGACGATCAATTGGATCTCGCAGAAATGGTTGGTTTTCTTGAGAGAAAAGATATTCATTTCTAACAGGATCATACTTGTGTTTACAATGGAACAATTTGTGATGGTGGATTTCCAAAAGATGCATTCAAATACTTCATGGAGAATCCGGGGATTGGATTGGAAAGTGATGATCCGTACGATACGGATAAAGAGATGCTTTGTCGAGAGGTTAGTTTATTTCAAAACTTGATAAAGATAAAGTTTCCATAACCATAATCATTTCCATAATCATTTCCATTCATTTTCATAATCATTTCCATTCATTTCCATAATCATTTCCAGATTTCTCCAGCTGTTCGTGTTCGTGAAGTCATCGATTTATTACCATTTGATATGGAAAAGACAAAAAGAGCTCTCATCAAAAATGGTCCATTTGCTGTGGGTTAGTGGGAAAAGATTGCTGTAACAAGAACAAGAACAAGAACAAGAACAAGAACAAGAACAAGAACAGCTTTCAGGAATTTATGTAAATGATGATTTTCAATATTACAAGGAAGGAATCTTTGACAAAACGTGTGAAGGATTGGAGAAATTGGGAGGACATGCCATTGTGGTTGTTGGATATGGTGAGAAGATCACATTTTGAAACTTAAAACTGGTCAAAATGTAATACCTACCAGATAAATTACCATAATCCTTTATAAAACTTGATTAAATATATTAAATGGTAAACAGGTGTCGAAGATGATGTTCCATATTGGATTGCGAAGAATTCATGGGGTGATGATTGGGGAGAAGGTGGCTATATCAAGGTGAGTTTTAAAAAAAGATTCAAAAAGCAATGCAATAGTTTTAAAAGTCCCAATATTAGTTCAAAGCCGGCGAGAATCTCTGCCGAATCGAGTCATGGTTTCAAACACAAGCGATAATTGAATAAAAGGATCTGTTTAAAAGTTGAAGTTTTAAAAGGATCATTGAATAAAGGTCACAGGAAAGTCTGAATTCGTTAGGTAAACATTTGCACAACATTTAAACATTTAAACAACAAACAGCATCGAGTACAAAGTTTGACTGAATATCGTGAAATTTCTTCTGAAAATTCTGTGTTTTCTCTCAAAAATTTGTTGTCAAATCGAACGTTTCTCGTAAATCATTCATTCCTACATCAAAAAAATCAATGATAAACTCTTTAAAGTCTACAAAATGAGCACTGAAATGAGGTCTATTTGTGGTGACGGTAGGAGAATGGGTTTAAAACAATCTAACAAGTGAATCTAACCGGTAAGACTAGGTAATCAAGTGTAAAATGAATAAAAATCACCGAAACTCAATGAAAAGCAATGAAAATCACCGAAAGATCAATGAAAATCAATGAAAATCAATGAAAATCAATAAAAATTTCAAAGAAAATGAATTTCTGTATAGATAAATATTTGAAAATAATGGTCATTGATGTAAACGGAATGCCTTTTTCTTTATTTTCCATATTGCTTTCTCGTTATCCAGTCGTTGTTGTGTTACAGCTGAAGAATATCTTCGCAAATGTGTTTAAAAGTAATGATTTTGATGTAATGACAATGAATAATCAAATCATTGAATCGATTTCTTCAAACTGAACTTACAATCCACAAGTTTTTCGGCATCTCGTTCGCATAATTGTTAGATAACCACTATTTGTACAAAGGCCTGCCTGAAATTCGTGATTGAAACATTTAACACGTTGACGACAATAGAGTTTTTGCAAAAACAATCGCATGGGACAACGTTGTTTTTTTTCGACAAAAAATGTCACCTGACATCAGGTGACAATGTCGTCAACGTGTTAAACAATATGATTTTCATTTTCAAACATAATACTAAAGATTACTAAAGTATTTTTGGCTAAAGATACTAAAGTATTTATGACTCAAAGATTCTTTTGTTATAATCTTTAGTATTATACAGGTTTTTTTTTGTTGAGAGTCGATTCTATCGATTCCATCGATTTACCTTAGAACAACAATCAAATCCCGTATCAACACATGTCGTATTGGTGCTATTTTGAGCATAAATCATCAAGAAGATCGTCGAGATGATCAACAAAATAAAGGAAACTTTCATTCTTGGAATGATCAGTAGAAACTGAATATCCTTTTTGAAAGATCTCATTTATATAAATGATTCAGAATGATTTTATTGATACAGCTTGTTTGTTGAGGGTCGATTCCCTGCATTGAACCCTACCTATTCCTTTCCATTTCCACTTTATTTCTCTTATTTACTCTTCAATCATCAACTACATCATGACGTTTAAAATCCAGATTTGGAAGTTGAAAAAAGTGATGTGCGATGGGAAAAAAAGAAAGTTGCTCGCATGATTTGCAAAGAGATTTGAAAGAAAATGAAAGTCAATGACTAGCAATCTCTTTCAATTAAAATTTTCGGTAGAATAATAAGTAAATAACAAGCTGTGAACAATAAAAACATCCTTTTCTCTCTTTTTCTCACAGCTCTAATCTTTCTTTCATCAATTTTTTCAGAACAAAATAAACAAGAAACGTTTGGTCAAAAAAGGAGTGAATGTTCTAAACACTGAGTGGTTTTTGATTTCGCCCAAACTCTTATTGCAATTTTTTTACGACGTTTAATCATTGTTTGATGTGTTTTTTGATTTTAGAATGAGATTCTCTCTGCTCATTATCTTTTCAATGACTACTCTTGTTTTTTGTGGAGACAAAGTTGAGGAGATAAACGACAATTCCAATTGGCCACCGAAACTTGATAGAAATGGTCAGTTCTAGAAGATGATTTCCCCGTAAACTGACAAATTTGAGTGATAACTTTTCCCAATGATCTTTAGCTCCCTGTCCTCATCCAAATATGGAACGTCGTGATGGTGGAAGTGCAAGTTGTGATGAGAATTGTGAAGATGTGATCGCTGAACGAGAAGGAAAAGAAAAACCAATTCGAGTAGGGAAATATGCAGTGAATCTAACCTCTAAGCTAGTTATCTAGTCATAACTATCAATGAAGTGATTGATTGATTCCACGCTTCCATATTGATTCCACGCTTTCCATATTGATTCCACAAATCTCATTTAGCCTTGTATTTTGATCTACATCTACAATGAATGTCACTGCAAGCCGGGATTCGCGCGAAAAGCCGTTGATAACGCTGAATGTGTGGCGAAAAAAGATTGTTGAATGTGATTTGATGTGATAAATCAAATTTAGCAACTGATATATCCAAAAAATGTTCTCCAAGCTCACAAAATCGCCGTGTTTGATCATGATGAGTCATTGAAAGAATTGCGTGAATGATTTCTCAAATAAGATCTTCTTGTTCCACTTTGTCAGTTCAGCAAATGAAAATGATCAATATTAGAGAAAATTTGGGGATAAACAGGAAGAAAAATGGGTTTATAAACAGAAAAGCTCAATGTTTAGCAATTCGTTTTACAATAATGAACACAATTCTTTTCATTTTTAGTTTTATTCTTGTTTCTTATTCATTTCCATTTGATTTGGATAGAAATGGTGAGTGATTGGAGATGCTCAAACAGAAATATTAGTTTATTTTAGTTTATTTTAGTTTAGCTTAGTCTATTTTAGTTTAGTTTATTTTAGTTTATTTTATTTTAGTTTATTTTAGTTTAGTTTAGTTTATTTTAGTTTCATCCAAAAGATTTTGATAGAAATGATGAGTGATTGAAGATGGTGAAACAGAACTATTAGTTTAATTTAGTTTATTTTAGTTTAGTTTAGTTTATTTTACTTTAGTTTAGTTTCATCCAAAAGTCACTCTAAATTCTAATTGTTTTATTTCAGCTCCATGTCCTCTTGCAAATCAACATCGACGTGATGGTGGATTGGATGTTTGTGAGACAAATTGTGAAGATATTCGATTAGAAAGAATTGGAAAAGAGGACATTAGGGTTAGATATTCGAATGATATCTTTATGATTTGATCGCTGTACTTCAATGAATCTTTTCAGCCTTGTCCCCTCGTCGGAGTCATAAATGGATGTTTCTGTAAAGATGGATATGTGATGAAATCTCTTCAGGATAACACTTGTGTACTTAAAGAACAATGTTAATAAAGCTTTTGATTGATTTTTAAACGTCAAATGTTTATCTGAGCCTCAATCGGCCGTTCTTTTTGCAGAAACTTCTCATTTTTTCGATCAAATTTCATTCAATGTTTAGATTTAGGATAAAAGAGAAAGAGAAAATTTGATTGTGAAAAGATTAGAATAGAAAACTTTTCATTATGAAAGGCATTTTCATTGCTTTATTCATGACTTTCATTTTCTTTGTACATTGTGATGAAGAATCTCAATTGGAATTGAAACAATTGAATTGAAACAATTAGATTGAAATCAATTGGAATTGAAGTCAATTGGAATTGAAACAATTGGATTGAAATCAAATGGAATTGAAATCAATTGGAATTGAAACCAGCAGGACCTGATAGAAGTCCTGAGTTAATTCAAGCTTTCTACTATTCGATTATAATTAACTGTGAACTTCTTTACCCTTTGTTATTACTTCATATTAAAATCTTCCATTTCAACTATTATACAATCCCTTTATTTCAGTTCAATGTCCCTTTCCAAATCAAGGTGATGGAGAGCAATGTGTGACACAAATTGTGATGATTCTCGATGGAAAAAAAGAGGGAAAAGAGCCAAAGTAAGAGAGATTTAAAGTCCAAAAATGGTTATATTCTTGAATAGATTTGTCCGGATGTTGCAGTGATCAATGAATGTTTTTGTGATGAAGGATTTGTGAGAGCAAATGCACAAAATGAAAGCTGTGTTTGAAAGAGGAATTGCTGGCAAAAATTTCCGATTTTCTCGAACCCCTCGAAATTTCATAGCTCACAAGGCCATAAACAGTGAGAAGTGTGCACATGGCCATAAGCGAAGGAAATTTAGTGCAAACCCATTTTGGGGGAAAAGAGGAGAATTTCAGTAGAAAGGAGTGAATGAATGAGAAGAAATGAATCACTCGACTCCATCCTTCACTTGCCTTCTGTCTGTCTTCCATTTGAACAAGAGGCGGTCAACTTTGAAGTCTTTTTTTGAAAAAAGAGATTCCAAATGGAAGTATCTACACTCTTTCACATAAAAAGAGTCCTTTTTGAGACTAAGGGATGAGTTATCGATGACTACTGTGCCTTTTTTTTGAGATTTGCGAGTTTTTGAAACAGAAACCAGTTGACTTTAGATAAAGAAATGCTAAAGTTTGTGAGAGGTACAAGTTAAACAATTAAAGGAGACACGTGGATAGTTTGGAAAGCCACACGTTGAGCTAGGCTACCAAAACTGATCCCTATACAGGCTTCAATTGTTATCTTTACCCCATTCTTCACATATTCACCCCACATTTCCTACCGGATGTTCCGGAAGGAATTCTAACCTCGAACAGATTGTAAACGGTCATAAAGGTTAGATTTAGCAATGACTCTCCAATGGATAAAGTTCAAAGGAAGCCGTCCATCCATCTTTACGCTCTTTACGAGGCCCTTACTCGAGTGATTTCCCTCTTCTTTTTTTTAGATTCAGATCTGTTCCTCTTTTTCTTTTCAAAAAGCTGTAAACGGGCAGTTATCCGTTTTCTTTTCTTTTCTTTTCTTTTCTCTCACTTCTTTTAACCGATCTTCACCGAACGTAAAGAAGCCGGATCTTTTACGGCCAATCAAATCAGAGTTGATGGGTAATTCAGAATGGGAAAGAGTGAAAGAAAAAGAGATTTCGATTGAGTGCCAAACAGCCTCGAAACGCCTTGTAAATTGCCTTTGTTTGCATGAAGATTACACATCAAAAGAAGTCATTTTATTGGAGAGCTCTGCGATACGAACCATTAGGTAATCTGGATCTCGCTTCCAACAGTTTGCAACTTTCTTTGATCTCCCGATCTCTCAAAAACAGCCACGACCAGATTGTGCAACTTGGTCGATTTTATTGTTACCGCCTCTTAAACTGATGCAATGGGAATCTGTGAGAAGAAATCATTTCCATTGATACAACCATCATTGAGTAATCCTTCGTGGATTGCGCAATTCAGCCAGAAGAGATTTCATTCATTGACAGGATTGCGCCATCGTGTCCTCTTTTTTTGTTCTCTGTCACTTCAACCATCAAATATTGGTTGGGTAATCCGGTGAGTGATTGAGAGATCGGTTACATCAAAGATCTTTTTTGATGACATTTCATTCGATGAGAACAACTCTAATCTCGAGTTACGCAAATCGACTTTCTGGTGAATATTTGGGAAAGGAAATAGCAAGTGTAGTTCTAGGTTATCTGGCTTTTGAACTGCTCAAATGAACTGGCTAAAACTGTTCAAATAAACTTAAGTAGGTGACCAGAGTATTGTAGCTTTTATCTAGGCTTAGGCTTAAGCTTAGTCTCTACTCAAGAGTGTGAGCAATTCTTTAACAGTCCCTAAACATTGCACTCTCTTTCATAGTGACTGCGGGTATCCCCTTAGGTCATAAATATGAAGCGTTTGGGTGAGCACCTCGGAATGGACCCTTCTACCCATCTTTTCTCTCAAAGCTGTGCCATTCATTGTCCATACGGGATCTCTCACTCTCATCCATCCTTTCTCGGAGTTGAAGAAGAGGCGCTGAGATGCTCAATGAATCACCGAATGGAAAGGGCCACATTGTGTCCATTCATCAGCCTTCTCCCCTTTCTTTCTTTCTTTTCATAAAGAGAAGAGTTTCGTGCGGCCAACTGCAAAAATAATGGCTTGCCATTGGCGGGATCCGAACCTCAAGCAATCGCCTTCGAGTGATCGATGACACTCCAATACCCCGTTTGCCTTTCTCTGTGAAAGAGGATAACAAATTGCCCACTCCCACCTGGAAAGCCTTTGAATTGCAGAGTACCGATGTGGGTTCGAGGGGGAAGTGATGGATATCGTGTGCAAATCGGACAAACAAAGAAAAAATATATCGATCTATAGGTGAGGTGAGGGTTTTTTTGATCAAAAATTGCATTATAAAGTGTTAAGTTTGCTAAAATCTGTCAAGAAAGTCAGCAGTCTTTTTCCGAGTCTCAAACAACATTCAACAATGTCACATTGAATCGATCATCGATTTGTGGGTCGATTCCTTTTCCTTTCCTTCTCAACTCATCTCAAAAGTGTCACTTTTCATATTTCTATTCATCAGATGAGAGAAAAGATATTTAAGATCTTTCAACCACTTTGAAATGAGTCTGAAGGTTGATTCAAAGGAAATTTGATGGGAGAATGATCGATTGAGGATGACAATCTCTCCTTCAAGTCCATCCTTCAAGTCCATCCTTCAAATCCATCCATCATCGCAATTTGGAGATTGGAATTGTGGAGTTTAAATATTATATAGCTAAACTGATTGTTGATGAGAAATTGAAGTCTTTAAAAGTTTTTAAAGCTGTGAAAGTTATGAGTAACTTTTTCCACCTCATTTCCTTAAAATACTACCTTTTTCTAAACAAATTGTAAGCATTTGCATGCGTGAAAAATCAATTTCCTAAGCGTGTCACACCGATTATTTAAATTTTCCTCAATGGCGCCAATCTTTTGACTCAAATTTTCGTTTTCAATTTTGTCAAAGCGGAAAGGAGAAGGAAAAAAGAAAAAAGGAAATGTTGCAAGGAAATGCGTGATGATTCGATGTGACAATGTGTGAAAAAGAGAGGAAAATGAAGAAACCGGGTGATATCAAAAAAAAAGTGAAGATAAACGCATTTCCCCCACAATCAGTTTAAACTAATTGACTTGCCCTGTTCGTTTTCAGTTGTAGTAACGCAAAATCAACTCATTCACAATCAAAGCCTACATTTGGCCTTAAAACCCTTGCAATCAGAAAGCTACGACACTTCATCGTTTCTTTGCATGTTTTTGTGTTGTTAAGTGAGGTGAGAACTCGATCTCGTCTTTCCCCTTTCGATTTCCGTCTTTCCAATCGTCTTTCCATTCCTCTTTCCAATCGCCTTTCCCCTCTTTTCTCTAATCACTTTTTATCGCAACACACCACTCCCAAAAATGCAATGAAAAACAATGAAATATCCCCTTCTCGACAAACACAAATTCATTGAATGACGCGAAATCCCCCAAAAAGTTTCCAAGATTTACGACAACTTTGAGAGAATTTCATAGCACGGGAAAGGTTTGACAAAAAGTGGAAATGATTTTCAATTCCCATCACTCAAACATGTTTTTGACAACTATTTCAATTTGTTGATTAGACTTTGAATAAATTGAAATTACCCTACTGCTTTCAGAATTACCCCTGCTGCTTTCAAACCGTTTTGAATCCACTTTTGAAGTGAGGCAATGTCACGAAAGATTTGTCACAATTTGTGAGTACAAAGAGATGCCGACAGACACTCATTTCATTGTGTGAAGCGGGAAAAAAAAGGAATTGAATGGGATTGATTCAACTCATTTATTTGAATCTAGAAAGAAGAAAAGACATGAATCTTTGAAGATCGAATTGCTTGAGAAGAGATTTGGAGAAAGAGATCCATCTATCAAGAGAGTTTTATGTTTGAATGAAATGAGATTTCATTGTTTTATCTCTGTGAACATCTCATGAATATCTCATGAAAATTACTTCCAATTCTCTCAACGAACAACAATGCCAAACATTCATCAAGATCTCTTTTGAATAAACATGCACCAATGTAACCGAATCCTCGGATTCCCTGTCTGTTTGTCTTTCCCCCATTCCCTTCAATACTGACCTCTTGACACATGTCATTTCTTCTCGAACTCTTTCCCAATCTCTTCTTGGATATCATATCTATTCCCCTTTTCCCAATCTCCCCAGGTAATCAAAAGATGAAAGGCTTGCCGCTGAACCGAAGTATCCCTCAACCGAGATTCTCTTCATAAATGCCCTTGATATCCTCTCATTTGATCGATATAAAAAAGAGTGAATTGACTGAATGAATGAGAGATTCTCGATTGATTTATGACTCGAGAAGAGAGATTTCCCCCTCACTTTACGATCTCGATTGTCATATTTTTCGTTCTGCCTACTGCTCGATCGATCATCCAAAAGAGTCATTGATGGAAATGAAATGGATTAATGAAATCAAGGGGAGAAAGGCCAGATGGGCAACTTTATACAACAACTCAGAAATGTGATCTTTGATAATGGTGTTGTTTTTTGAATAGCTTCACGACTAGAGCGTTTATTTCATTTCATAGCATTATTCAATAAGTTATGATCTTAAACCAGTCGAATCTTTATCCACGGGCAGATCTAACCGTAGAGTGCTCTGTCCAACTTTTCCATAAATGTAAAAGACTTAAAAATTTGCAATCCTTTAACATTTATAGTTCCACAAATCACACTTGATATCAGTAATTTATAAATTTGTTTCTTTTGTTTATTTTTGGCACTCTAATCCAAAATGGGGAAACGATTGGTATTGTTTGCTGATGTTTTTGTCACCCTCTCATCTTTTTTTTCATTCTTGCCATCAAGTGTCACTTGACATACATTCACCATATGTTTGTAGGCATTTTAGATAAATGAATAGATTGCAAAGGTTCGATTTCCTCAATTGCAAGAACCACTTCACACCAAATAATAAGCCAAGGTTTGAATCTCACTCAAAAATAGAGTTCTTCGCAAAGTCAATGAGGACTAGTCAATGAGGACACTCTCAAAATCATCAATTATTGTGA